CTTGACACTGGCTATACCAAACTAAAGGCTACCCTCTTTTTTGTTCCTAAAAGGACAACAATTGAATTGACACAACCGTGGTGGAATGTGTTCAATTCATGAAGTCCCAGTCCTGGGGTGTTTTTGTTGAGAGATATTGAGAGGGATGGGATTATATAACTGGCTAGTAGCCATGGTTGCCCATTTAGATATGAAATAACCCATCCCATAACCATAACCATAACCAGAAAACTCCATAGTTTGGGGATCTTCCAGCCGCGTTTGATTGTGAGATACTTCCAGTTTGAGAAATTTGCCATGCTTTGCCAGCACTTTTTCAGGGACATCTCTACGAACCAACAAGGACATCCTTCTGGGCATGCTTCAAGGATTGGACTGCGAGGATTTCATAATAGTTTGTGGTTTTCAATTCTTAAAATCTGCACGGTGGGGTGACTTCTTCATCGTTTTGTTCCAACACAGATCAGATCTAACAAAATTGGGAGATTGATCGTCAAGCAAACATATTTACCTATAAAAATGAATAGTAGAAGATCGACCATGTGTTCCAACATATTTATCTAATATATAATTTGTTACTGTTAATGCAAATAATGCACATTCCTTATGCCTTCACTATCTCAACCCCTGAAATTATACCAGAGCAGACAGACTGGCACTTGGTTTGGGTTATGATTTGAAGTATGGATTTTGCATTCCATCCTTCCAGCCTTGCGTTGGCATTGAACCCACGCATACTGTATAATGATGTATGTGATGTATAGTGCCAGTGTATAGTTTTTCTTATTCAGATCATTTCGAAAGTCTTTTTAGCGACCTCAACACAGGGACCATAAACCTTGCTCCCAAAGACATGGCTTGAAAGCATCTATCCTGGTATCGTAGAGCATCAAAAAGGAACAAAACAACAACTCACTCATCCAAAATCAACCAGTCATGATATGGGTCCAGTCATAAAATGCTTCCTAGGCAGCCATAAGTATGCATAATTTTTGTATTTGTTTGGAAAACCGTGTTTGTTCGAACAAATACATTTTTTGGTACATGTTCAGAAACAAAGACGTTTTTTGAACATTTTCATATTTTGAGTATGCTGGGCATTGTTTGCTTGTTCGGCCGTTTGGGCCGTCATGAAGCAAGGGATAAATAAGACTTAGTGGGAAAGAATCATTTGCGGCAGAATTTCCGCAAGTGTCACTATTCCATGATGCATCCCACCACAAAATCTTGTAATGGGGTATTGTGGCTTGCACTCACCTGGAATTGGTTGGGTGGTTAAAGGCCTTGAGCAACCTGTGGCATGGCTTTGCAGCCGTGTTGATGGGTGAATTCCATTTTTTGAAGACAATCGCGCCAAAAACAAAAGCGGAATTTCCCGGAACAAACGCGGAAATTTGCGGAACAAACGCGGAAATTCACGGAATGGTTTTTGGTTTTGATCCGCGCTGCTTCGGGCCATTTGTTGGCACTGACATGTTGCATTTATACCCCAAGAGTTGTACATTAGTCATGTTTCAGTAGATCTTGTTTGCCTAGCTCTTTTTCTTCAGATTTGATGGCAGTGTGAGTGGAAACCCTCGTGAGCTGAAACTCTATCAGAACCAAAACCGTTTTACACCCTTAGAGACACTGAAAGTCCCTTAGCTACCAAAACTATCGCTTAAGATCACAACGTGCACCCAAAGGAAAACAAACAAATACGTTTTTGCCTCATCAAATACGTTTTTGCCTCAACAAATACGTTTTTTGAGCTCAAATCAGCCGAGTACATTTTTTTACAACCTTGGGATTTCCAGGTTGTTATGTGGAATGTTGGACCCAAAATCAGCGAACATTCCGAAAAGGGTCCAACATCGACCAGTCGACTACCCTCGGGTAGTTTAACAGTTTGCTATTGAAAAAATCACCATTTATAGTTGATTTACCTACTAAAGATGGTGATTTTCCATAGCAAACTGTTACTGGTTGGTGGTTTGGAACATTTTTTATTTTCCATATATTGGGAATTTCATCATCCCAACTGACTTTCACTCCATCATTCTTCAGAGGGGTAGGGCGAAAAACCACCAACCAGGTTAGTTTACCAGAAGCTAAGTCCCCTCTGAATCGCCAACGTTGCCGATCTGAGGCTGCTGAAAGTCTCAGATTTCTGCTTGTCGACGACCTTTAGGTGCGAACAAAACATGTTTCTTTGTTGCCGCGATGCGGCGTGGATAGTTAAGAAATGACAGCCAGCTATATGGCTATGGATCAATACCTATAAGTACCATTTTTAGGGTGATGAACATCCATTTACTAGCTATTTTGAGGTTCACCAGGGGTACAAGGTTTTGACCCATCCCCATATGGGAAATTGGGAAATTCACCATCAAAAGATGTTTAAATCTAACAAACATATAGAACCACTGATATTTAATCATCATTTATGTGGGAGATTCACCATCGAAATATGGAAAACAATGATGATTAACCATCAATTGGATGGGAAATTAATCAGTCCAAATGGGACATTATATTGGTATTTGTATGGGTAATGAATCATGAATGCGATACACTGGGGACATAATACCTGGATAATTGACATCCGTTAACCTTCCTATCCTCTGGCTGCTTAATATAGACCAGATCAAAACTGTAGCATTGTTTCGTGGAAACTGTTCTTCCGTTCTTCCGACCCCCGGTTAAGAGCAGGGTCGTCATGTTAATGTGGGGGAAGGTAAGCTTCCAATTACCTTCAAGCTCCTTTGAGAAAAGTAAGCAGGACCATTTTACCTTATCGTTTTTGGGCTGGCTATTTGTCTATATCTGACAGGTAACTGGGAGATGGGAACAGCACCGAGCAGTGACTGTTTTACCGTGACAAGCAAAACGGGCAACTGATGAGGTATGATTTGTGCTTGGCAATTGACGAACATGATGATGATTATGGTGGTGATTATGATGATGATGATGGTGATGATGATGATGGTGATGATGATGGTGATGATGATGATGATGATGACGATGACGATGACGATGACGATGATGTTCACCGTTATGTTATAGTGAGAAAACATACTTCTGGTCGACGTCTGTTGGGTACACACTCACCTTTCATGACCGAACTCTCAGCTGTTTTTTTTTGGGGGGTTCTTTGGGTTGAACTTACCAGCACTGCCAAAAATAGACTGTCCCCCGAAAAAGGGGGATTAATCCCACTTAGTATTTGCTTAGGGGTAATAAGCCACATACAGTATCACTGTTGTATATCAGTATATAAGTGTTTTTTTGGTAACAACAAAATATAATGCAATATACATATAAATATATATATATACATTGCTTATTCTACATGTTTGTTTAATCCACTTAGGTTATTTGATGATTCTACCCACTTAAAACTTGGAGCCCCCAGTTATGTTTGATGATTTATAGCGCCCATTTAGCATACTTGGATATATCTACCATAGACACCCGTCTAATTCAACAGTTGCCCCAGTCATTTGACTTAGCTAACCTATTGTTTTTCCCCCAGCTTCTACAATGTCGGGCCCCCGTTGACGATAGCTAAGTTGGTGCAAACAATTCCAATAACTATGGTCTATAAATCTTTATGATACTAATTATATATTTTTTGCATCTTATAACTACATATAGTTACGCTAGACCTTTTTGTATTCAGTGAATCTAAACCACCCCCATATCGCCAGCCACCTGACCCGTCGCCTCCAGGCCGAAACAGCTTCTGACCGAAAATGTGGGCACCTTGACGCACATGTCCCCCGAAGTCTTGGATCGAAGGCCGGCTTTTGGAGATCATCGATCCAGAGAGACAGGGCAATTTTTTCACAGAAAAATGGCGATGGCTATTAGTTATAACTAGGAACATATGGTAAAACATGAGGAATATATGGGAAATATGTGGGAAAATATGGTAAAACATGAGTAATATATGGGAAATATGTGGGAAAATATGGTAAAACATGAGTAATATATGGGAAATATGTGGTCATAAATGGGATTATACATTCTATAAATGGGGCGGGTTATGTTTGTACTAACAAGTCACCCCATTTATAGAATGTTTTTTTATCCCATTGAAATGACCAGTTATAACTAATAGCCATGGCCATAACTGTGAAGAAGAGATTTCAATCGGTGGAAACCAAATAAAGTGAAGTAGAAATTAGAATCATGATTTTTTGAGAGGTACAAACAATTACAAACCACCTCAGGATGCTCTCCGGGGCAGTTGGACTCCAATTTTATATCATGTGATCGTTCAAAGGGTTCTTTTTCTACCAGAGAAGCACTTGCAAAATGTCCTCTTTGTGGTTTTTTCGGAAATAGCAGGGTTGTTCAAAGCCAGCTGGTAGCCAACAAGATGGGTTGGCAGTTGCAATTTTGCCTCTTGAATCCATGTCCAAAGCTACGTGGGTTGGGATTTGAAGCATCACCGGCGCAGCTGTTGATTGGCTCCAGCTTGTAGCTTCAGCCCACGAGCACTGTATCATGGCTCGCAGCGAACCCACCGATGTGAGGCCTCCCCAGTTATGTTTGCTGGTTTACAAAGCAATGAACTCGTTCCTTAGATTACTAGATTCCCCATAAACCATAGTTGACCAAGTTACAACTCGATTTAGCTATCGTTTGGGGGCCTAACCTTACCAGTATTCTGACCTGCTTCTGTTCCTTGCAGTGATGCTGGGCAAGTCATGTTGGATCGGTGGACTTCAGTCTATCCTTGAAAAAATTGTACTTGGAGTTGCCACTTCCAGCCTGCTACCTAGTCCTGGGGTGACACCACCAGACCCACCAGACCCAAGCACCACTTCGGGTGGATTTACATTTCTTGGTGACTTGAACTTGAATGGTGCCTGGGAAATCCGAAAAACAGATGACTAAACAGATGACATCAAAACCATTCAAAAGCCACATGGTTCTTTTTGGTGGTTTGTAAAATTCAGGCTGCCACAGCGAAACAAATTCTTTGAGTTTCGTCATCCTTGGGCCGTGCCGTTGTCAAACGCTGCCGCCATGCTAACGCCCGAAGAGATGGACATGCAGGCGGAGGCCACGGTGGCTACGGTGCTGGAAAACTTGGAGCCCAAGTTGCGGCAGGTTCAAGTGGGAAAATGATAAGTCATAGGAAACCATACCATACAGTTATGGCCCGAAATACCAATTTTTTGAGTACTTATTACATCTTATAACCATTTATAATAAACCCATTGATAGAATGTTTTTTTATCCCATTGAAATGACCAGTTATAACTAATAGCCATGGCCATAACTGTAGGACACCCCTATATTGGATGGGAAACATCATTGGTTTAGAGAAGATTTTTCCGACTAAAGCAATCCATCCGACTAAACTTCAGGGTGACTTGGGGGTTCCGAAGTCATCCTGAAGTCATGGGGGATCCCCAAGTCACCATCTGGTTGGTGGTTTGGAACATGATTCTTATTTTTAGATAATTTTTAGCATATATTGGGAATTTCATGATCCCAACTGGCGAACCCCATCATTTTTCAGAGGGGTAGGGCTCAACCACCAACCAGCCATGGTTGTTTCAATGCTATAGTTTGGTCATCCAAGACCTGGATGATCCAAGACCGGGCCCTTCCGAGACTTTGGAAATCTCGGCCCGAAGACGTTGATTAGTGGATCTATTGGGAATATGTCCTATCAACTGGGATTGTAATTATGGGAAATATGATGGGAATAATATATTGCTGGACATATTTTGGGAGATTTGTTGGGAAATGTTGCCAGCCAACATTTCAACTGCTGGATTTCAATCCAAATCATCATTGGCCAGAGATTCAGAAAGGGCAAAGACTGAGCGCAAGTGGGCCCAGAGATTGACTGATCAATCTTAGTACCCTCTGGTAAACTAACATAATTATGGAAAATCACCATTTTTAATGACCCTCCTCTGTACTACCAGTTTTTTTTCCTGGGGGTTCAGTACGCTTTTTAAAAAGCACTATTTTCCAAAAATCTAGCAGACAGTGGGTGAGGGTCCCGGGGCATGATATGGGGCCAGGAAAAAAATATCATACCAAAAAAGGCCCAGATTTTTTTTCCTGAAAGCTTCCTGACGTACAGTGACAGGAAATCAATTTCTGTCTGTTGTGATTGAGGGGGGGTTGATCTACTAGTCTGTGTATGTAAGGCATCAGGAAATCAATCATGAATGACTCTGATAACGGGTAAGTTTGTAGAATTCCTAAGGTTAGTAGCCAGGAATTTGAAGGTGGATGGATCAAATGGGAGTTTACTAGAACATATCTAAATGTCAAACCCCAGGAAAAAATGTACCATGATTAATTGAGTGGGTATGATTTTTTAAATGACTTTGCAAAAGGGGTACAACCACATATGTTCACCTTCACCAACCAAAAAAGTGACTTCAAGAGGCAAAGGCGCAGGGGTCAAAAATCAAATCCAAGGGGCTGGACCTTTTTTGACTGAATACTTGCGGATGATTTCACAGGTTGGCCCACAGGAAAAAAGTCGCGTCACCAGGCCAATCATCCACTGATAGGACATGATGGGCCGAATTCAAGAATTTTGTGTCAACGCGCGCCCAAATTGCAAAACACATGTTTTTTTTGCTGAAAATACAGTTGTCCTTGCAAAAGGGTACAGACACACATGTTCAGCTTCACCAACCAAAATCAAAAAAGTGACTTGAAGAGGCCGAGGCGCAGGTGTCAAAAATAAAATCCAAGGGGCTGGACCTTTTTTTGGCCGAATTCTCGCGGATGATCTTCAAAGGCTGGCCCCACAGGAAAAAAATCGCATCACCAGGTCAACCATCCATAGATAGGAAATGCTGGGACAAATTGAAGAATTTTGTTCCAACGTGTGGCCAAATTGCAAAACAGGCGTTTTTTCCTGAAGATACATTTGTCCATGCAAAAGGGTTGCGCATTTTCCTGAATTCCTGTCCGTGGTTACCAAATTAACATAGTGACATAGATAATCTTGAACCATCTTGAGCCACGATGATGGATAATGCAGGTTATGATGTAGAATGTTTTTGGAGGCATGCAATGGCAATAATTTTAAGAAATCATGGGGCTCACCACGAATCTGCGACATGGCTGACTTGCTGGTGAATGCAGGGTTGCGCATTGCTGGTGAATGCATTCGTGAAGCCGTGGCATCCGAAAAAATGCGAGCTGACTCCCAGGGAAGTCAGGTAACAGGAATTCATTTTTTTCCGTATCAGATTGAGGGGGGGAAAATATGGCATGTTACCAACGCAAGCATCCAGGAAATAATTTTTTTACTTGGATATCAGAGGGGTAAATTTATTGGATGTTGGACGTTGGGCACCAGGAAATTAGCAAAGAAAATTCAAAAAGGTGGTTGGAAGTGAGATTTCGGCTTCAGAGGTTAGGAGCCAGGAATTTAAAGCTCTAAAACCTCTCTCAAAGGTTAGGGGTCATCATTTTAGACCGATTTTTTTCTAGGACTGTACCCCACGTTGGAGCACAGACGGGGATTTTAATGGGTAAATCCACTATTTCTATGGCCATTTTCAATAGCTTTTTGTATGTTTACCAGAGGGTAGTACTGTTATGAAGCCATCCCATTCTTCGGTTTTTTTCTGTGACTTGTCTTCGAAATCAAATTCGGCCTCGTTCTTGTGGGTTGAGTCGCCATATGTATCCCTGTGTTTCAATATTAATATCAATTTGACAGCATTTCCTAAACATGTTGCGGTTGAAGTGATGTTTTTGCGTTGCTTAAAACATTGGTGATTGGCGTGCTTTTATCACATATTTAAGCTGATTGTATTACTCTAAAACATTGCTGATTGTATTACTTACTATCTGGTTATTTAACATAGCTATGGACAATCCCAACCATAAATGGAGGTTTCGTTCGCTGGGAACATCATTTGTTTCTATGGGCTATCATTTTCCATAGCAAACTGTTAGTCATAACCAGAGGGTATGTCATGGATAGCAGGTTGAATCCTCTTAGAATCATCACTTCCATGTAGATGCTTAGATTCCTTCTGGTGTTTTTTTTGTCAAGATGTTGATGTCGAAAAAAACAGCCATGGCTGCAGGCAATTCCCCAGATGTTTTTCGACTCGTGGAGTCGACCTGTAACAACCAGAGATCATCCGCAAGTTATCTTGAGTCAGTCATGCACGATTTCACCAGAAACCTCTGTTAGCGGTTTTTGCGTATAGAATCTATCTGAAATTCTTATCGTTTTATATCCCATAGGATCCATGTATGCTATATATGGTAACATTTACCATCAATATACCCCAAATGTTAGCATATATACCATACATGGATCCTATGGGTATCATTGAATTTTTCAGTTGACCATGTTTATACTATAGATATGAAATGCTGTTGCGCTTGTAGAGTCTACTGCAAAAGCCGCATATGGGCCACACTTCGCTACCTCGACTTGAGTGGTCGTAGGTTTTTTCCCCCAAACTGACCCCTACCCAATGATTATCCTATATCCATCATATCATCGGGTATCTTCGGGTATATTATTTCTAATATGTCGTTTTTTTAAATGCGAAATCCCTAGGTTTGTTTTGCATTTTCATACTTGTTGCACGGTGAAATCGTGCGAAATCCCTGAAATCCCCAGGTTTTTTGGGGTTTTCCATGGTGAAAGCCAGGCCATAGCGGCACAGCAGCTGCCCAGCGGGCCCAGCGGGCCCAGTGGCCCTATGGAGCAGAGGGAAATGCTGGCGGCGATGAAGGCGGAGGTGCCGCGACTGGGGGGGTTTCCATAAATGGAGGTACCCTTGAATTTCGCTGGATGGTAATGGAAAATCCAAAAAAAATGGATGATAACTAGGGTAGCCCTAATTTTAGGAAACCCCCATATACTGATATACATTGATAGACCTAAATTTCTGGCAATTTCTGGTAAATGATTTATGATATACATCGATATACCTAAATTTCTGGTAAATGTTTTTTTTTTCCCGATTACCAATTAGCTATAATTTACCATTATATGCCCTCTGGTAAATGAAGGGTTCAACCCTGAAAACCACTAATTTTTCGTGGAAACTAGTATGAACCAACCCCTATCTGGGTCTATGTGAATTTTCCGGAGGGTATATAGTGGTAATACATGTGTAGTAAACATTACCGTATACATTTGTCATAATGATAATGACGCAATATGATAAACAAAACATGTAATTTTATTGTAACATATTATAGCACTAGTAATGGGCAACATATGTAAATCAAATCAAATATGATAATAATACATGTACATACTCGTATGTAACGACAATAATACATAGTAAAAACATGTAATGAATTTTGTACTAATTAGTATAGTATAATAGTAAGTATAATAAGAATAAACATGACAATACAGCATGAAATATCTATAGTTTCTATAGTTAATGGGGGTTATAAATCAGCATTATTATTTGATGTATATCTGGGTAAATTATAACGACCTCACTGCGACTTTACTGCAACAATGGTTAGGTTGCAAGCAAGTATCTCAAGAAGAAACATTATTTCAGCTTAGTGAAATAGAATATATCATAATATATCATAATATATCATAAAATATCATAAAATATCATAAAATATCATAAACTATATTTATATTCTATAGCTAATGGGGTTTACAAAGCACGTATCCATAATATATGGTTTCCATGATCGTTAAAACTATATATATATGTATATTTCAACATTTCCATATGTATATGTATAAATATATATATATATATAATGTATTTTAGATATCTGTTTGGTGATTTTATCTTCATGGTGCTATAGATATACATATGTAAAATGTATGCTACAGGCGATTCATCGTTTTTGTTTAACTCTTCATTTCTCTAAAGCTGGTACCAATAACCATATAACTAAATTGATTATGGGTTACTATGAAATTTCAAGTAGCTGTTTTACCACAATTTATCCATGTATCGAGCATTTAAACATGTATAAAGCATTATTGGATATGAAAAACACCAGTTATGACCACACAAATAAGCTTGGGTATGCAAGCTGAGTATGAAAAAAATATTTGGCTGAATGTTGATTATATAACACACACACACATATATATATATATACATATATATATATACAAGTCACGTACTGTATGTGCCGTCGAAACATGGATTGTGAGCCTCCCGTGTGCCATCGACCATTGCACAAAATTCAGTTTGTTTGGGAGATTTTTGGTTTGATTCATGGGAGAAAAAGTGGGGATATACAATGGTGATACATACAGTATATATAACTATGAATACCCTCTGGTAAACATACAAAAAGAGCTATTGAAAATGGCCATAGAAATAGTGGATTTACCCATTCACAGTTGATTAACCTACGGACCAAATGGTGATTTTCCAGTTCGCAAACTGTAAACATTCGTTTGCCAGAGGGGATAAATGATGGGATCCATGATGGGATCCATGCCTTCCAGGATGAAAATTGCTGGGACTGTAGGCAAACATAACATTTCTTCGAATGAAAACCTATTACCATCTGGTTATTGAACAGTTTGTCATTGAAAGATCCACCATGCTGTTAAGTTCGGCAAACCATCTATTTCGATTAGGGCCATCGAAAAACCATGGCGATGTTCAATAACCAGAGGGTAAATATTTAAATGGCGGTTTCCAAAGTTGGGGATCCCCTTTATCGCTGGTTGGTGAACGGAAAATTCCAATAGCTGGATGAATAGCTAGGGGTAGCCCAACTTTGCGTCGGATAAAACAGACATTTTCGAGAAGATCACTCATTGGATTGGTTTTGAATTGAAAATCTAGAGGAAACATATATAAACCTATATACACACAGAATGTCAATTATATACATATATAGATATGCACACACAGATATATATATATATACATATACACGTATACAGTAATATGTATATATATATATATATACAAAGTGAGGCCCCCTAGATAGCTAAGTTGGTGCACATAACTCCAATAACTATGGTTTATGGTACCTATAACTATAGTATTCATGGGTTTTATAAACCAACTTTTTGTTTCACGTTGAATCGATGCGGACCTGCAGGTTCTTCAGCGTCTCACGGCGTCGGGACCTGCACCTGCCTTTCGGGCACCTGCACAGGCGCCAGGAGTTGGATGCAGTGGATGCGTGGTAAAGGGAGGCATGTTGAAATGCAGTGGAGATATAGAATGGGATAAATCACCAACAATGTGAAGCTCTCCAGTGTGAGACACTTTCAGTGTGAACTACTCTCAATGTGAAATATCATCAATGAAAGCCATAGTTTTATTAACCATTGGAGTTCCATATGGAGTAAGCAACATATATACATACACATATCTGGGTAAATTATAACGACCTCACTACGACCTCACTGGAAATCATGGTTAGTAAGGGAAATCATCCCCAGTTGGCCTTAATTCAGGTTAGTGAAATATTATAATTTACCCAGAGATATAGAATGGGATAAATCACCAACAATATGTATATATATACATGTATTATATGGATGATTTGTTCAGATTTTGATATGTGAAACTTATGATATAACTTATAACACGATCTAACCTGATATAACAATAATGAAAGCAGTAAGGGACATGAATGGTGGGGATATACTGGGACATGTACCCAACTATACTATGTGGGTGTGTCTGTAAATGGTTCATACCCTCAAGTTGCACCCAAGGAGGCCCCATGTTGCACCCAAAGGGATGGAACAAAAAGTGAAAAATATGAATCTGGTTGGTGGTTTGGAACCTTTTTTTTTATGACTTTCCATATATTGGGAATGTCATCATCCCAACTGACTTTCATATTTTTCAGAGGGGTTCAAACCACCAACCAGGAATGATAAACCTATATAAACTAAAATGATATTGACAAATATGATGCACCCATATATGACAAAACCTATACATGAAAAACCTATAAATCTACTTATGATGACCTATATTTGATACACCTACAGTATTTGATAAGATAAATCATCAAACAGCTTGATGACACCAACAAACACGAGAACCTGAGATATTTACCCATCAAGAACATGAACGGTATCAAAGGATAGCAATTAACCAGATTCCCCTAAGAATAAAGACCCTGAACCGAATATGAGCAGATTCACTAGCTTTTACCAGGTCTCAAGGGGTGTCTTACTTGAGGGAATCTATTACATCCCTGATATTATCAGGTTTTGCAGAGGGGTTGAAACCCTGATGATGATGATGATGATGATGATGATGATGATGATGATGATGGGGTACTTCATGGTATATTTATTGGGATTTAGCCTCTGGTTCTGCAAGTTCCCAAATTTTCGAGCTCGGAAGCATCACATCATGTGACACAAAACGACTCCCACTCTCCCTGTTGCCCACCCTGGAGAGGGCTATGTGTGTATTCACATAGTGACCTTAGAGCCTTAGAGACCTGAAATGAATGAAAACCATAGTTTTATTAACCATTGGAGTTCCATATGTAGTAGGCAACATATATACATACACATATCTGGGTAAATTAGAACGACCTCACTGCGACCTCACTGGAAATCATGGTTAATAAGGGAAATCATCCCCAAATGGCCTTAATTCAGGTCAGTGAAATATTATAATTTACCCAGACATATGTATATATATATATATATACATATGTAGCAACCCCTCAAAAAGATATCGTCGAAAGGTTTTCCAACTGGAAAAAAATATAGGGAACACATCATTGAACTGGCATTTTTTGATATTTTGCTGCTATCCAAGGTGAGGCCACCAGTTATATTTGCTGGTTAAAAAAGACCCATTAATTATAGTATTTCATTAGTATAATGGTGTATATTGCTATAGTGATGGTTCATATAATGTTGTATAGTTGGTTCTACCACAGTTATATCCACCATAAACCATCCACCAAGTGAACGATGCGTCAAGCCACGATTTCATTCGCACCGGGGCAAGCCGCCCAGGTGCCTCCGCGCCCAGGTGGGGTTACTGGGTTTTCACTGAGAGGGATGGGTTCTGTTTCGATCGGATCTCTGATTTGAAATCGGATTTCATAGGATATCATCTGACTAACGGATATTTCATGGGCATGGGAATACCCTCTGGTAAACTAACATAGCTATTGAAAATGGCAATTTATAGTGAGTTTTCCCATTAAAAATGGTGATTTTCCATAGCTATGTTAAATTACCAGAGGGTAGATGATCGAATTTCTGGGCATTCTGATGGAAAAGTGAGATCTGGAAGTCTCAATGGGCTCAATGGATTGATCCCAAAGGGACCTACCATATATTTTTGGCCTATAATATAAGGCCTAAATTTCAGGGAATATCCCAGCAAAATATGGCCAAACATATGGTACTAACGTACCTCCATTTTAGGATCCTGAAGATCTCCCATTGAGGTTTTGTTTGTTTTTTTCCATCATCCCATTCTGGTGAAAATAGAAGTAGACATTACAAATCCAAATCATTGATCGTCTCGTGGGCGGCGCTGGTGGAACACCCCGGGTGCTAACCTGCCCTGCCCTGCCACTCAGCAATGTTTGATCTTTACTGGTGAAGCCTTGAGCTTTGATCGCTGTTGTCTATCACCAAGTTCTGCCATTGTTTTCTGTTTTTTACATTATCTGGTTGGTGGTTTGGAACATATATTGGAAATAATGAGCCCAACTGACGAATGTTTTTCAGAGGGGTTGAAACCACCAACCAGATTATTTTATTGGTTCCATCCCCAATTTGTGTTGAATAGTTGCAGCCCACCAAGGACTAAACAAGCCAGTCGGGTTGTCGGTTTCAAACACCTTGTATTTCTACTTTCCCTTAGTGGGGGTGCTGACCCAGAATTGACTCTACAATTTGTACAAGGTGGTACCCTCTAGTTATAAATTGGTTTAACGACCCCATTGACTATAGCATAATATACCTCCAACATAATTCCAACCGTTATGTAAGTTGATGTCCCGGGTTCTGTTTGTTGGCTTATGTTGACCTCGTTAACATTCATTAACGAAACAGCTTGGATATACCTAGCATAAACCCACCAGTTCACCTAGTTGATCTAGTTGGTCTCTGTCGACCCCATTCCTTCATCGACTATAGAATATATCATAGAATATATAAGTTAACATAAGTTAACTAACATAAATCCTAGTTGACTCTTTTAAACATTCATGATCTACCATAAATCCAATGGTGTCACCTAGTCATACAGCAGCATCGCGCCCCGGGGCACCACGGCTGTTTCAGGCATGGCTCAGATTGCTCCAGTGCCATTGGCACAGCAGGGGCAACGAGGTGAGGCGGATGGGTCAAGTGGCTTTTCATGGTGCTTTTAATGATGATCTGGTTGGTGGTTTATCATGATATATAACCATTATATCCCATGATAATAGTATTAACTATAATAATATCCCATCAATATTCCCTTTAGTTAACAATCTGGTTGGTGGTTTGGAACATGAATTTTATTTTTCTGTATAATCTGTATATTGGGAATAATCTTCCCAACTGACTTTCATATTTTTCAAGATGGTTAAAACCACCAACCAGCTAACAGTTTGCTATGGAACATGGACCATGTATAGATGATTGAACTATATATTATGATGATTGTTTATGCTATGGGGATGGGTCAAAACCTATGAAAGTACCATATTTTGGGGAATAACCATCCATTAACCAGCTATTTTCGGGTACCGTTTGGGGGACAAGCGTTTTGACCCATAACAAAATATATAGTGTATATATATATATATACACGTACATATTGTTGTTATAGACGTTTATTGTTAAATTAGAGTGTTTATAGTGTGTATTAGATGTTGCAACCATGTTCTAATCTAGATGGTCAAATGTTGCAACACACTATAAACATTGTTGCAAGTTTGTTTAAAATGTTGCAAGTATGTATAAATTAGATGGTCATTTGTTTATACATTGTTGAACCATGTTCTGATTCATGTTGTATTTTTTGTGGACGACCACAGATTCTATCCAAGGTATGACATCACGATTGTGACCATTTAAGGGGTGTAACATGATGTAACTCATATGATCCAGGGATGGGATTTTTCTAAATCTTAGTTACTGGATGTAACATGATGTAACCATGATGTAACATGATGTAACAATAGTTGATTATATATATTATAGTTGATTATAGTTGATTCCAAAACTGGCTACTATAGTTATATATTCTATATGAGTAAGCAATTTATTGTTGTTGATTCCAAAACTGGCTACTTACTCGAGAATGGTTGGTTGTAGCGCATGGGCCGGATTCTGTCACCCATGCCCATTTGGTGCGGTGTTTCACAACAAGAGCGATCTAAATGGTTGACTGTACAACAACATTCGGTGTACACAGTGGTTTAAAAGTTTCCACCGGTAGATCAATCATTCAACTGGCTTGCACTTGCACTAAGATATGTTCTTGTTCATCAGGACCTAAAGGATGAGTTACAGATAAGGCCAGGCAGCGAACTGGAAACCATGGAAAGATTAGAGACGGAGCACACAAAGACCCACAAGAATAGCTCTGGACAGCGTTCCCTTGGCACATTTATTATGAAAAATGTGGCTGGAAAACCCCCCAAATTAGTTGGATGAATCACCAAGGTACAACTGCCCCTGATGCTGTGGGATAGATCTCAAGGGGTGTCATGGAGTGGGGGCAGATTTACTCAACTTGATGGCTAGGTGGATTGGTATGTGGAACATGCCAAGGATAGTTATGATGTCACGATGTCATGATTTGACAATGTGCATGAAGAGGAATTACAGTGATTACTCAGTATATATACTTCAATCGAATAGTCACATAGTCACAATGACAACACCAATGGTCGCGATCATAAGAATCGATATGATATCACCAATACAATCAATAGTCATGTCATATCCATTTTTTTATACATGATGACTATATGACTATATCACCTATACTCCAATCGCCACCATGCCAGGCGTGTGTTAAATTAGCCACTTGATATGCGTCTCTGATTTGATGGGATGACGATCATTCAGGGTGGCTATGCACCAGCAACCATCAATGGATTAATAGGGAGTTACATATACCCATGAAATAAGGATTCCCAATCCTTTTGTGATATACCCATGTTTTTTTTTTTAATAACACATCATATATACCAATAAAATATGATATCAACCTATTAGAAATATTAACCCATGAAATATATACCCTCTGGTAATTTAACATAGCTATTGAAAATGGCCATGTATAGTGAGTTTTCCCATTAAAAATGGTGATTTGCCATAGTCATGTTAGTTTACCAGAGGGTACCCTAACCATAAACCATGTTTTCAATGTCTTGACCCTTTAAAGCAGCTCTTTGTTGCTGGCGAGTTTCACCCTGCCAGTTTTTGAGGTGGTCAATGGCCGGCTCCACAACTGGCAGGAGCGACAGGACGGCTCGGCTGATGGTGATACCGTCAGGGGGTATGGACTTTTTTGAGCATCGAACATGGGAAAATCCATGGGATAGTTGAATGGAATCCAAAAAAAAAGTGAGAAATATTTTTTTGGACATATTGGGAAATATAGTGGGAAATACTGAACAGTGTATATTGGGACATATTGGAATCAATCTATCTGGATATATTGGGAAATTTAACCAGACTGGTTCGACGAAGTTCGACCAAACCTATCTGATAGATAACTGGAAGAGGGAGAATGATAGTTCTGATTTTACCTCCACGTTTCGCACATTTTTCCCCATGTATCTGAGGTGTTGGGAGCAGCCCTGTTCAACCCGAAAATGGTCCTGATTACACTCTTCTTTTACACTTGTTTTTAGAAACTGTATCCTCTGGTAATCATACAAAACACATCAAAAAACTATGGAACATCACCATTTTTAATAGGTAAATCAACTATTTCTATGGGCCATGTTCAATAGTTTTTTGTATGTTTACCAGAGGGTACTTCGCAGAACCATGTACCTCCACAAGGCTTCACACATATGCCACGCCGGTGCTTGGTCTCGACCAAGGGTCCGACCGTGCAGAGGTATTGGCAATTGTGCGTGCGGTTGAGTGTCTCCTCCATCTTGGGATCAGCTGTTTTGAAATGCAAACTCACAGTGTGCGATTGGTCGGTGACTGCCAGTGGGTTGTGCAACATGCCCAGCTTCATGTCGGCAGCAGATTGGATGCAGATTGTTAATCCACATGATGCTCACCATGACTTGTGGCAACGCTTTGCTGATGCGACTGTGGAATTGGCTTCTCTCCAAGTTGTGCTGAAGTTTGAGTGGGTACCCTCTCGCCTTTCTTTTGACCAATGTTTTTGTGGGCTTGATCTCTGCTTGTGATCATCAAGGTAACTCCCGAGCAGATGAGGCTGCCAAGCAGACTGCCAGACAAGTCTCTTTGTTGTTTGGCCACGGCGATACCATTGCTGCGGCCAAAACTGACGCTCAAAACGCCAGTGTGCGGCGTCAGCTGTATAACGTGATGATAATCCAGACCAACCGGGAGATTTTCACATTGAGCCCCCAATGGTTCCTCTGTTATCTCTGTTGCTGCCGTTGACCCAGCATGTGTGATAATCCTGAAAGTACTTGGCCTTCTGCCTCTCTTAACTGTTACCTTGTGCAAGCGACAAGTGAGTCACTTTGCTTGGCAAGTTCCTTCTGATTTGATCACACACCACATCATGGAACCATTCTTTCTAGGGCCGATAGTGGCTATGCATGGCACTATTCACAAGAGAATTTTGATGCCATCCATACTTATCTTAACGGTATTTTAACGGTCATGAGTGGTCTTCTTCTGGAAAGGTGACTTACCTTGAGTTGTTTGTGGATTGGTATGCTTATAGTGGCAGCCAGCTTGTTAACCCAAAAGCTGGCAGGACTAAACCGTTGTCCACCGCAGCAGATTGCACGTCAAGTTTTGCTGCAGCCTTGTGAAGTATTCATAAGGTGTTTGCCGAGAAAGTAGCACCGCACCCTGCGACTTGCTGCCTGGTTTCGCATCTGACGGCGTTCAACAGGTTGAAGCAGGCCATCGGCCTGAATATGAGACCTCGTTTTAGATGCCCAAGTGCAGTCGGATTTCTCACTTGGAGCCTTGGAGCTGGCGTTGATCTTTCGGGGTTGGAAGTGGACTCTGCCGGACTTGATTCGACCCAACCTGGTAAGGAGACCCTAGTGGTGAGCAGTTTCTGTTTTGAACATTTTTGACCCACTACGACATACTACGACCAATCCCTTGCTTTGCTTGGCGTTTAAGTGTCTCTTGAGCTACTTTGTGCGGCGGCTTTGCCGCCTGTTCGCTTAAGGACTTCGTAGGCCCTTTTCGTATGGGATGCTCCATGACCCACCTGGGAACTGCCGATGGATTCTGATCCCATGCCAGGGCGGCCGCACCTCTCGCCGTCGCATCCGTCGCCAAGCGCGCTGCCTGCGTTCGGGGAGAACCGACAAGGCGATCCAGAGTTCGGAGCTAGGGGAGGCACCATATCTCTAAGCATATTCACTACCCTCTGGTAAACTAACATAGCTATGGAAAATCACAATTGTTTATGGGAAAATTCACTATAAATGGGCCATTTCAATAGCTATGTTAAATTACTGGAGGGTACTGGTTGGTGTTTTGGAACATTTTATTTTTTCCCATATATTGGGAATTTCATCATCCCAACTGACTAAGATTTTTCAGAGGGATTGAAACCACCAACCAGATATGGGAAGTCAAATAGATGCTATTAGTTTCCCGGCCACATTATAGTCAGTACATGTCGATACCACTCCCACGCCGCAAGTTTAAATCAGTGAGTAGTTCTTGTTCAGAAGCTGGCTCTGGCTCAACAGGAGCCTGCCTGTCAAACGTTGACTCTCAAATCTCAAAACAACAAATGTACCTCCGCATTAACAGCTGCAAGTTGTGCATCATGATCAAGTGAACATTTGAAATCTCTTGGGGTGGCCCCCTAGATATGTGTTCACATCGGTAAAGTTGTACAGCACTTGAGATCGCGGTGAAGTAATAGATGGTGCATCCGGAAGTTAGGGCGGAAACAAGAGGAATCATCAAAGTTATCCTCCCAGTGTTGTTGGTTGGTTATATCATGTTAAATCACCCTTTCTAGCCTATGTATAAGTCGATATAAGTCGTTTCTCAGATCAAACAATCACTCCCAAATGGCACCCTGGTAGAATATGGAGGATCGATGTTATGATCCCGTAAAAGGGTTGTGTTAAGATCAGGTGACTGGGACTCTCCAAATGGGAAACACATTCATTAAATTTCATTAGGCCTATCATCATGATCAGGATGGACACCTACAGTATGCTTCCCACCTTTTCCCAGCAAATCAACATGAATCAACCACAAGACTTACCCCAAAATATATACCATAGATATCCATCCATATGTATATATATATATATATAATTATATATATATACATATCTCCATATATCCATCCATATATATATATATACTATATGATTGTATTATATGATATAGAAAACCACTCATCCAAGAAAGTGAGACCATCCGAGTGATATCGCAGGTTCCATGCCGATGCCGTTACCCGCGGTTTCCCAAACGGTTGCCGCGGTGTCTGCGCAGGCGGATCCGAGGATATGTTTTGGGGTTCCATAAATGGAGGTGCCCCTTTATCGCTGGATGATTTACCCTCTGGTAAACTAACATAGCTATGGAAAATCACCATTTTTAATGGGAAAACTCACTATAAATTGGCCATTTTCAATAGCTATGTTAGTTTACCAGAGGGTATTTCATGGAAAATAAAAAAACATGGATGGTTATAGTGGTATGCCTATTTCACGAAACTTGAAAAATATGTTTTTTTTTTGAGTGGGAAACCATGATGGTTGGGTATTGATTGATCTTCACTATACGTAGTTTAAGACGATCGGACTGTTTCTATCGTTTGCTACGACACATGAAGAATCGCTTCTTGGCTTCAACCGCCATTTCTAGGGGATGTTCCAGCCACGATGGATCACACTCCAGAGGTAAACATCATCACACCCATTTATTGTTTGGTGATATTATCATAGATTATGTGTTTATTTGTTCTTGGCTCATGGGAATATCATCATCAATACATCATCAGTATCATTATCATTATACTATTATTATCATACCATAATATAGTTATTATTGTACCATCAATATTTTGATCTGGGTAAATTATAACGACCTCACTGTTCTCCCTCACTGGAATCATGGTTAGTAAGGGGAATCATCCCAAAGCCGAACTATTCAGGCTAGTGAATTATTATGGCCTTTACCCAGATATACTATTATCCATTATCATACCAGTATATACCATTATCATCAATATACCATGATCCATATATTATACTGGTAAATACCATTATCATGGTAAATTGATATATCGAATATACCATTATCCATATATAATTTCCATTATCATTATACCATGATCATGATCAATATACCATGATCCATATATTATACTATTATTATCATACCATGATCATGATCCGATTCGAATTAGTGAAGCCAGAGAATCCGATTCGATCTGGGATCATCCCAAAAGTCCCCCTCGAGATCCTCGAGGCACAGACGAAGGACAAAGAGTGGAAGCAGTGGAAGCAGCTTGTCGTCCGGACAGAGCCACTGGTGACCGATTTTTCTCACGGCGAAGTGGAAAGATCCACCATTTTGAATAGGTCAATCATCTGAAATCATCAGAAATCATCTGAAATCAGAATCTGAAATCATCTATTCTATAAGCCATTTTCCATACCTATGCTTAACCAGAGGGATCCAGAGGGTATATGCCAGGATAAGGCTTTCCGGGAAGCGCGAAATCATCCCTGAAGTTCAGATATGATTGGGCACTTAGAATCCCAACTTTACTATCTGGCTATGACTAACATAGCCATGGAAAATCACCATTTTTAATAGGTAAACCATCTATAAATGGGCCATTTTCCATGGCTTTGTTAAATAACCAGATGGTACGTCATTCACAAGAATAATTGGTAGTAGTATGTAGGGAACTATTTTTGGGCAATAGAAAGCTACACTTACGAACCACGGAGTGTTTGACTTCGGCGCCCTTGTGTTGAGGGGTTTGTACCAGAAATGGGTCTGAAGAACATACAGATGTGGAATCTGGCTGAAACAATTACTGTTCTGGCCCTTTACCAGTTATAAGTACTTATAACCCCATTTATAGACTGTATAATCCCATTCATAACCAGTTATAATTTCATAGCCATGGCCATAACTGTACTGTATTGATCTTCTCCGCTTGGATTTACTGCAATGATTGGTTTTCTACTTGTCCATTGGATATGATGGGATCATAGTGAAAATCAAGTCGCACGCACGTTAGTTTGGTTTCCAGAGCGTAGCCCCCACTACAGCCCTCTCATTGTTGTTAATTTTTGAACAAATATGTTACATACGAAAAAAAAAAACATACTAAATTCCATTTTTTGGCAGCTGAAATTCACATCTCATCTCTTAGTTTGATCCTATTTCATTTCCGAAAAAAAACTCGGTTCCCCAAGAAATTCCCAGGTCCGAGCCCTTTGTGCTTCTGGGTGATGTGGCATGGTTCCCTGTGCCCAAAGCCAAAGTGCGAGGCATCGGAGCTGGAAAGTCGGAGACATTTGGGTCAAAAGGTCACAGGTTTAGGCGGTTTAGGGTGGTGGAAATATATACAATGTGAGGCCCCCCAGTTATAAGTTGGTTTATAAGCCCCAGTAACTATAGTTATAAGATGTTATAAGTACCATAAACCATAGTTATTGGAGTTATAAACCAACTTAGCTATCTAGGGGGCCCCACTTTGTAGGACATATATGGCGACCTGGAAAACGCACTATTTTCGTATGTTTCTGTAGCTAGACCCTTCAAGCAACCATTTTTCAATGAGTCAAAGTTATACAAACTGAGTATCTGATTGGTGGTTTGGAACATGGCTTTTATGACTTTCCATTCTGGTCGGTGATTTCAAACAGTTTTTTTTATTTTCCATAATATATGGCATGTCATCCTTCCCATTGTATTTTATATTTATCAACATGGTTAAAAACCACTAACCAGTAAGTATTAACCATCATTAACCATTTAATAACCATATATTAACCATATATTCATATTGGGAATCTCAGCATCCCAGCTGACTCCATCATTTTTCAGAGGGCTCAACGGGCTCAACCACCAGGTCTCCCTTACTATGGGACGTCGGAGAGCAACTGATTTTTCAAGCTGGATAGCATGGTGGAAAGGATGATGTGTAAAATGATGATTATGATGCAATGATTATCTAATTATGTAGTGATTATGTAATGATGATGTGATGATGATGATGATGATGATGATGATGATGATGCTGATGCTGATGATGATGATGATGATGATGATGATGTAATGATGATGTAGTGATGATGTAGTGATTATGTAGTGATTATGTAATGATGATGTAATGATGATGTAATGATGATGTAATGATGATGTAATCATATATGATGATGTAATGATGATGTAATGAGGATGTAGTGATTATGTAATGATGTAGTGGTTATGTAATCATGATGTAATGATTATGTAATGATGATATAATGATCGTGTAATGCTTATGTAGTGATGATGTAGTGATGATGTAATGACTATGTAGTGATGATGTAATGATGATGTAGTGAGTATGTGAATGCATATAGAATTTATATACCATATTCAAAAGCGGGAAGGTCCAGACTCCAGACTCTTGTGATCTGGCGGATCTACTCTCAACGAATCCTTGGTTCTGCCAGTGCATCAACCATGGCTGGGAATTCCCCAAATTGATGGAGTGAAATCCTATGAGGAATCTATAAATGGATATGCAGTGATCAAAGTACATGTCCATTTATAGATTCTCGTTCATAGGATTTCAAATCATAGAAATTCAAATCATTTCAGATCATAGAATTTCAAATCATTACATATATATATATATATATACAGAAATTACATGAAATTACATGTTCCATTCTTCAGTGATATGTTTAATTACGGTGAGGGCTGTTCCTTTTTTTTTGCGAAACGGTGCCAGGCGACTTTCCCCTGGAGGTGCGTCATGGGGGAAGATCCAGGGATGCAGCCGTGCTGCTGAGGCAGTATTTCTATGGATTTTGGAGCTTACCCTATGGGAAAACCATGGGAAAACCATGGGAAAACCATGGGAAAATGGGAAAATCATAGGAAAACCATAGGAAAATGGAGGTTTACCCTATGGCAAACTAACATAACTATGGAAAGGTCCACCACTTTTCAAGGGTAAATCCACTATAAATCAGCATTTTTCAATAGCTTTTTGTATGTTTACCAGAGGGTAAGTTATTTAAGTATCTTGGATTTATATGGATTTATAGGGTTTGGAGTCTTCATTGTGATAGGAAGATGAAGCTGCACAGCAAGCATCATTGGCATTTTTTGGGGGATTGAACAACACACTTGGTGGCCGGGTGGTCCAAACATGGGAAATACGTTCACATCGCTGAAATCCATCTGGGCACCAGCTGCGTGTGGTGTTCCGCGGCAGCGGAACGTGGCGAAAGCAGACTGTTGGCCACATGGAACTCAAGGGGAAGCCTACACTTCGGTCAGTGGCATGAAGGATGAGAGCTTTGTGGACGGTTGTTGGGACACTGATACATGATGAATAGACAGTAGCTCTATGTTCATGCCCGAAAATTCTGAGGTGACAGTGAAGGTCTCTTCCCTTCACTTCTTGAGGATGTGAAATATGGGTGTGAAGAAAAGGTACCCCAAAAAACCACAGGTGAATCATCATTGTTCCTAATAAAGTGCCATAGATACATATAGATACCCTATTTTCAGCACCCAATTGGATGTGGTGCATCACATGTTTTTTTTGGGGTTTTACATCACCCAAAGAACCTGTGTTTTACCCTCCGGCAATCAAAGGTAGCCTGATTGGTGGTTTGGACCATTTTTTACTTTCCATATATTGGGAATTTCATCATCCCAACTGATATTTCCATATGTTTCCATAGATTTCCCACCAATCATATGATATATGGGATGTCATCCTTCCCATGGACGAACTCATATTTGTCCGAGGGGTAGGTCAACCACCAACCAAATGGAGGATTTCCCAGCCATGTTTGACACCGGAGGCTAATGTCCAACCATTAAGGTGAAGTATTCCCCAAAAAATCAGTTATATCATGTTATATAATTAATGTTATATATATATATATACGTATATATATATAGTTATGTTATATCACAAATACATTTATATATATATATATGTATACATATATGTATATACATATGCATATATATATATATATCATATCCCCATAAGGGCATCATCCGGGACAGTTCTGGTGACATGACATCTCTTTCAGCCTTCGAGGCGCCCGAGGACAGTGAAGCCATGAGTTTTCTGCGACGGTGCGGCCACCAGGTTTTCTCGATTGGAATCTGAGAAACAAATCTGCCCAACAGTAATGGGAAATAATGGTTCATAACAGCAATAATCATCCAGAATATATGGGAAACAGTAATGGAATAATTTCGATTAATGAATGTCACTTGGTGGTTTTCCATTTCATATATGGGAAAATCCTGGTTAATCATGGTTAATAATGGTTGATCATGGTTAATAATGGGAGAATAATGTCACTTGTATATATATATATATACAATGTGGGGCCCCCCAGTGATGGAACGATGGTTTATAAAGCCCATGAATACTATAGTTATAGGTACCATAAAGTATAGTTATTGAAGTTATAAACCAACTTAGCTATCTAGGGGGCTTTGTGTATATATATATATATATGTATAATTATATATATACCCTATGGATCCAAGTTCCTTCTTAGGAAGTGGGACTGGGGTATGATTTGGAGGGTGATTAGTACCTTCTCAGACAGTGTTTGGATCCATAGAGTATATATATATATAGATTGTAACAGCGCACATATATGATGTATTTGTGTATTTATATATATATATATGATATATTTAAATATGTCTGTATGTGTATATATATATATATACGTTGTTTGACTTTTTTGAAGTTGTATATACAAACTTAAAACAGGGGTAACTACTTCTGCGGGGCTTATGATCGACAAAGTCCTTGGACTCTTTAGTGTTTACCCTCTGGAAAACCATGGAAAACCATGGGAAAATGCGAAAACCATAGGAAAACCATAGGAAAATGGAGTTTTACCCTATGGCAAACTAACATAACTATGGAAAGATCCACCACTTTTCAAGGGTAAATCCACTATAAATCAGCATTTTCAATAGCTTTTTGTATGTTTACCAGAGGGTACTTTGGATTCTATTTTGGGTGCTTTGAGTTATTACTGGTGGCGATTGCTCTCAACTGATGCTGTAGCTTGCACCTTTCATTGAAGGCCCAAACGAAGTGCAAGGATAGGTGTCCAGAGGTCCAATCCCTATAGACATGAAGTTCACATTAAGTTCAGTGGTTCATTTCGATGATTTCGAAGGAATTCGTTTTAGACATACATCAGCTATAGATATGGAGCACTTCGGGAAGTTCATCAAGAGTGACTTCTTACGGCACAGCGCACAGCCCGGTCAGGGTCACCTCCTTAATGGGCTGCGAAATCACTGAACAGATGAGAGAGGTCCAGCGCGGGACAGTGATTCCAATGGTGAATCCTTGCGGGAGTCTACTGGGGAATCCAAGCTCCGAATCAAATCAGGAGGCCCAGAACACCACCTCGGAATCTCAGTTTGATTGGTCAGAAATTTTTTGTCGGTTGCTTGCATTCCGAACATGGTTGGTCAAACATCCATTAAAAATCCATGATTTACTCAGTCCACGGTGAACCCCACAACGGGAAGTGGACCTCAATTTTGGGAGTCAATCCTACAAGGGCTCCATGTTTTGAACGTTGAGAAAGTAGCAGCGATACCTATGTTCATTGGCTGTTTCCCATACTTCTTGTCTTCGTTTCTTGGTGTTTGTGTCCTCAGTGCCGGAGTGATGCTTGCTGGCCCCATTTCATATCCATTTCATGTGTTTTTTCTCCAAATATCAAATCATATGACGATGGCGCAATCCATACAGCACCAATGTTTGAGCCATGCCCCGTTTTTTTTTCGACACATTGGTCAAATGATCCATTCCGGACATGGTTTGAATTCCCCATGTCATTCATCCATGAGGGCCCTATAGACAGCTACATCATTTGTCTTGGTGAAGTTTCAGAGCAATCCAGGCTCGGGGCGACCAAATGCTGACCGTTGAGCATGTTCCATTTTACTTGGTTGATATCTTTGATTTCCGTAGATTTCCCATAGATTTCCCATAGATTTCATATGAAACAGAGCCATCCACCATTGGTACCCCGGGTACCCCCGTGGGATTCGGTTCGTCCAGTTATTTCGACCTAACCCACTCTGGGCGATGGGGTAAGCCAACAAGTACTTTCCCCATATTTCAATACTCATTTGTTGCATTCATAGTGCATAGATGCCTCATATTTCACCTATGAACCAACAGAAATATACAGAAATGTCATGCCAGGAGCCTGAGAAGGCAGTCTTTCAGGAAGCTGCACGGCTGCTTCTGGCAGTGGTGGGCTTCATGTGCGAAGGTGCAAGCCGCAGGGCGGTTGGGTGCTGGAAGGGTGGAAGGTTGGAAGGGATGCTCTGTCAAGTGTTGCTGCTTGGAAGACTTGGCATGTTTTCTCTGGTTTTTTTTGACATATTTTGACTCTCAGGATGATATTAAATTAAATTTTTGGGATATTAAATGATATTTAGCATATTTTAACCATTAACCGTCAACTTCATTGGGCTGAACTACCTTGGCAGGGTATGGCTTGGAAGCGGGAGTCCAGTACATGTTTTTCTTCAATATTTCACCAATTAGAGGTTTGGTGGGTTTCCTAATTGGGTCTGGATTGGATGTGTTACTCTTATTAATACTAGGCCCAATTAATGGGATTAGATGGGATTACTCGGATTAATAAGATTAATCTTACTAGGGATGAGATGATTAGATGAGAGTTCCACATATCCCATCAAGAGTTAAACTCCAAGCAGTCGAGGCAAGCTATCAACTCGCTGAATTGGTGGCCAGGCAATTGTCCGCATATGCTCCGCGGAAATGTGTGGAAACCCAGCAGTATCCTTCTATGATGATGATTATGATGATGATGATGATGATGACCATTATCATTATCATTATCATTGTAATTGTCATTGTTTTATTATTATTATTATTAATAATTATATTCACCAGACATACTATTTACTCCAATGTTGCTGGTTAAACTCCAATGTTGACTGGTCAAAACACTTATGTGTGCTCGTGATATTCCATATGTTGTTTTATTTTTAACATAGTAACACTACACGCTGACACCATCGTTTGCCCAAAAAATCAAAGGGTAGCCCGGAATACTCGCGGAAACACTAAGAGATGCTACAACAAATTACCTGTATGATTATAAGATTACCATCTTCCCATGACCCCTGAAAGATACATATCATTACCATTTGAGTTGGTGTTTTTTTTGGTTTGGGGGGTATCCTGATCCTGATTGTTCATCATCATTACATGCCAGATTCTTCCAGCTACTATGGAGTACAGTGACAACACTAAAACTGAAGATGAAGACTGCTCGCAGAATCGCATCCAAAAGATCATTGTCCGTAAAAACCCAAGTGTTCCATGGCTTTTCCTCCGAGGTGGTCACTCGAGCTCCGTTCCTGCCTGCGTGGCAGGGGGTGGTGCCACATATGGTACTGAGAGAGACTATGACTGGTATTGGGTAAAAATGGCTTTTTGAAGCTTTTTCTCACTGGGTGACTTCATTGTTACTTTTTATGGGACTGTGTAAATTGAGTTTGATGGGATTTCATAGGATTTATATGGGATTTTATGGTATGATAAATTGTATTACCCTTTATAACTATGTATATATATATTGATAGAGTACATGTATATTAGGTGGAAGGGATTGCTGTTCCCTGAGAACTTGGTGGTTTCGGGATAGTGGTCAGTCCGAACACCAATACCGGGGTGGGTCAAGCTGGGTTAACAGAATTACGGAAGACACAAAAAAATAACTATTTGAAGCCAAACAAGTGCGCAAGTCTCATCTTGCTAGATCTATGATGATTTATGAAGAAAAACATGTCGCCCTGTTCCGAAGCTACCCTCTGGTTATTTAACATAGCCATGGTATAGATGGCCCATTTATAGATGGTTTACCTATTAAACATGGTGGATCTTGCCATGGCAAACAGTTAGTCATAACCAGATGGTAAACCATATATTTTGGGGTACCCCATTTATGGAATAAACCATATATTTTCCATTTTAATTAGTAGGATTTTCCCTTATAAACCATATATTTTGGGGTACCCTTAATTGTTGGGCGATCCCAGCACTTGTTTGAGTGCCCCAAGAGCCGACCAAGGAATGGTTTGATGGCAACGAGGCAACGTCCTTGCTGAACTTCTACGGGTCTCTCGGTCTTCGGAAGAGGATATTTCAATGTTTGCGAAGGTATCATGTGATACCACATGTTATCATATCTTTTCATGTGTATACTACATTAATACACATTAGTACATGTTTATCATACTGTATCTTACCATATAGTATATATATACATATATCGACAATCTCATGAGCGATAGTACAAGTATAGCCTGGAGACATTGATCAGCAAAGCCACGGTGTCGTTCAGAAGGCAAACATGGAGAATTGCAACGGAAAACAACTATGGCAATGTGATGAACATCATAGCTGACTAAATCTACAATGCATGATGTAATCAATGTAATGTGGGTAAAACACTAGTAAACTTTGTAAACCATCCCCCAAATCACCATTTTTATAGGTGGTATGTTTACCATTCCCAGTCATGGGTGGTTTGTGATTGTTTGTTTCCCACATTAATCATAATCTAATCATTTATGGTCACGTTCTAGTGTTCTATAATAATCCCGTTAATGTTCTATGAGAATCATTTGGTGTAATCCCTACAATCATCTTATCATAATCATGTTTGTTCCTTTTAAACATGGGCTATTTATGGCCTATTCCCCATCATCATTTGGCTGCGGCTAATATAATCACTAATAGTGTTCATCAATCCCCTTTAAAGGGAAGGACACATCATTTAGTGTCCTATAATTTAATCTTTGCCAGGACAAATCTAATCTTAGGATTATAGTTATATCGTACCATGATGATAATAATCATCTATATTCTAAGTTAGTGATTATGTTGGTAGTATAATCCCCTATAATACAGTAATCATTTGGGTATAATCATAATTATTACAAATCATAATTATAATGATCATTAGTTAATATTACAACAATTCATGATTCATGATTATCCTATATATTATACATTATATATTATCTGGTTAATATAATCTATAATCACTAACTTAGTTAAACACCTATAGATAATAAAATCATCTATAATATAATCATTATAATGACACCCTTATCATTATAATAATAATCCCATTATTTGGGTAGTATAATGCCCTTAGGTTATTATAATACTATGGTTAACTTAGTAGCTAACTAGTTAATAATCCTTTTAAACATGTCTTAGTTAGTAGTTAACTAATCTTAGTTAACTACTAACAATAGTTATACTGATTGGTGGTTTCAAACATTTTTTCCATAATATATGGGATGTCATCCTTCCCATTGACGAACTCATATTTTTCAGAGTGGTAGGTCAAGCACCAACCAGTAATTATTAATCATCATTAACCATATAATAACCATATATTAACCATATAATAACCATATATAAATCCTTTAACTTTAAGAATCCTTTATCTAATTAGTTAAACATGTCTTTGCCCAGGTCGGACACGCTTCGCAAAGCTTTCGAAGCCGCGGATCGACCGAAACAGGGGTCGCTCGGTGTCTGAGTGGACCCCGATAGGGAGAAAATGACAATTTTAGATAGGGAGGTGGCCCACAAACCAAGTGAAAAGACAATTTTAATAGGGGAAAAAACTATGTATATATATATACATAATTATTATATATATATAGTTGGACTTGTTTTCTTTCCCCTATATTTTCAGACAGCCAGCCAGCTTTGGATTCTTAAAAGCTGGATTGTGACGTCTTTGAGGAGACCAACGTTCGATCGGAATGGTGATCACTGGGATTTTGATGAGCGAAATTCCATCTTTTTGGAGTCTCCAAACATCGTGGCTTGCTGGAAAATCATGGAACATCCACTTTTGTTTAGTTCTGTGATTTTCCCAGCTATGAATCTCTTGAATCTCTGTTTATAGGGGATTCGTCACTGTTTTTGTTTCTTTTTACCCTTGTCCACAAAAAGGTGCTTGCCACTTGCAAACTGTCTGCGTAAGCTGGGTAAACCAACAAGGCAACTGCGGAATCAGTGGCCATTTCCGGTACCTAACTTGGAGGTGGCCACCATATATCAGGTCTATGTAAGGGCTAGGGGCTATACCATGATATAGCCATATATACCCTCATAGTCATACTGGTTGGTGGTTTGGAACATTCTTCATTTTGTCCATATATTGAGAATTTCATCATCCCAACTGACTCATATTTTTCAGAGGGGTAGGGCGAAAAACCACCAACCAGACCCACATAGTATAGTTTGATGTGGGTACAATAGCTCCAGGAAGCTCCAGTTTAGGTACCTGAAATGGCCATTGAATCAATTGGCATTCGCGGATGCTTTGCGGATTTGATCCTTCGGAAAACCAGGGAAGTTTTGGAAAAAAACATACCCTCTGGTAAACATACAAAAAGCTATTGAAAATGGCCATAGAAATAGTGGATTTTCCCATTAAGAGCATGGTGATTTTCCATAGCTTTTTGTTAGTCATTACCAGAGGGTAGGGGATACAACCAACCTTGGTGTGTTATGACCATGGGAACATATCTCGGGAACTCCACGATCAACAGGGAGGTTCCTTACTTGGTGGTTCATCCCAGGAATCCTAAGTAGGTTTTTTGACCCCAGATATAAGTGGATTAAGCCTACTTATCCCACTTATAACCAGGGATATAATCTGCTTAGGATTTGTGGGATGAGCCAGTAAGCAAATCAAAGAGAAGGGAATGTAGAGGATGATACGGACAGCCATGGATATCGTGGATCATTGACGCCAACATGATTCCTTGGAGAGCGCAGGAAGATTTTACAAAAAAGAGGATGATCTGCTGGGTCAGGGATGATCTTCTTCGTCTTCATGTTAAGTTTTTTATTTTCATTATAGCCTTCACTTCATTGTTACAAATTGAAATTGGGTTACCCTTTTAATTATTAACCTTTATGTATAGCAGTATTTCATGTCTTCAAACTGTTCGAAATCACCATGATCCTCTACCAATCATCCACAAGTACACAGCTTTGTCTGAAAATTGGATACCCCAGAAGCCAGTGGTTTATCATCGTTTGTCCTGTCAAACCGGCCATCCATGTCCCATAAATATCCAGAAATTCCCATTGTTTCATAGGTATATAGATCTCATCAAATTCCATCAAACATCCCATCAAAGTCCATTAAATTACATTAAATATTTATATCAAACAGCTGCCAAACTGCACCTTTGGCCTTTCCCCAGGCACTTCATCACCCTGCTGTCCCGCTGCGCTGCGGTGGAAGCGGGCCGCCCGGGGGCACGATACCTTCGAGCTGCGTGGCAGAAAATCTTTGATGCTTGGTCAAACCTACAGTTGGAGCCTCCGTAGCCATGAAAAATGCTGGTAAATCCATGTTTTGCCCCATAAAAAAAATGTTGTTTTTGCCCATCAAAAAATGTTGTTCTAGCCCATAAAGATGGTGTTTTACTATGTTCCACCCCATCTTTTTCAATGTGTTACCATGTTTTTTACTAACTAGATGTGGGATCTTTCATGGGAATAACTGTTACTTGACATTCCTTGGAGGATTTTGGAGGATCATCACCTAGGATTGGATGGTCCCAGTTATGGCCATTTATTAATTATAACTGGTCATTTCAATGGGATTATACATTCTACAAATGGGGTGACTTGTTAGCACTTATAATTGGTATAACTCGGGCCATAACTGCAGTTGCAGGGTGAAGCATCCATCATTTTCCCAACTCCCCAGAATTGCCATGCCAGCTATGCGGAAAAAATAAAACATAACTGGGATAATATGATAATGACCTTTGTTATGGTTATTATGATATATATATATATATGTCATTTAAATACATATAATATATATATATATAACAGTTTTGCTATACATCCCCAGTTTTAAAAACCAAAGAATCATTTCCGTTATAGTTAAATGATACCATGCCATACAATAACGGATTCACCACGAAAATGCCATCGTGATACCCAGAGAATCACTGATTCACCATTTGAAAATGCCATATAGTTATATACATCTACAAAAACAAGTAGCAGTTTGATTACCATATAACCACAACATCACCATTATAGGTTATATCTCAATCCATAAACCATAAATTGACATCCACCAGTTCTTTCCATTATCCTCTGGTAAGATTTACCCATTGAACATGGCCCAGTCGAAATAGTGGATTTACCCAGCTAGAAAATGATGATTTCTTCCATAGTTAACGAGTGATTTTCCATTAAAAATCATTAAAAATGATGATAACTTCCATAGTTAACCAGTGATTTCCATTAAACCATACTTTCCATAGAAAATGGTGATAACTTCCCATGAAAAATGGTGATTTTCCCATGAAAAATTGTGATTTTCCCATGAAACATGGTGATTTCCATCGTTTTTTCACGTTAACCAGCTGGGTTTGCACCATCCCGGGACCCCAGAGCTGAGAAAAACTCAGGATCTCTTCCCCGAGCTCAGCCTCTTCCGTCAGCTCCTGGCACAGCTGCGGCGCCGCTGCTGGGAAGACGTGCGCGACCGCAGCCGCAGTCGGAGCTTCGGGCGGTTGTTGGATACGCGGGGGAAGCGGGAGATGGTACGGCCGGGAGGTGCAAACATGGGAAACGATGTGGAAAATAGATGAAGAATGATGGAAAAAATATGGAACATTTAGATGGGTTGGATGGTGTAAGTCCCATTCTGGTTGGTGGCTGGAAATGGATTATGACATGGATTATGACTTTCCCATCATGTTGGGAATGTCATCATCACTGGACGATCATCTCAACATGGAGGATTTTCCAAGCCTCCTTTGATTCGCTTTTTGGGTAAAGTTTGATAGGAAACGTGAGGGAAAATACCATGGATTATTTGATAAAAAGGTTGGAAAAAGGTAGAAGACATGATTGGAACCATGGAATTTTCCACATCAGTCAATTTTCCACATGGAACATTTCCACATCATTGACAGTCAATTTTGTTGATAAGATGTGGTATCCTCACATTGACTTTGAATGAAATTATTACGCACTCAGCAGTGGGGATGTGTTAGTTGGGATGGTAGTTTTCACGATCCGGGAGATTCCCAACGGATGTAGTGAGGGTCAGAGTGGATGATTCACGAGGGATGATGGCTTTGAATGTTGTGGACGTTAAATACTGGTGGTTTGGAACATGGATTTTCCTGGTTCATCTATGGTAAATCTATGGTTCATTGGAATAACAATATATCTGCTTGGTGGTTTGGAACCATGGAACTTTATGACTTTCCCATCATGTTGGGAATGTCATAATCCCAACTGACGAACTCATATTTTTCAGAGGGGTAGGTATACCACCAACCGTAATATGTTGGTTCCTGCAATTTGTTTCTCTTCAAGAGGATTTGAGATCATTGGATTGAAAAGTCATGTCATTGTCGTCATATGCTGTATTGAATTCGCAAGATAGACTAACCCAAAGATGCCCTACAAAAACTGTTGTAATATCATGTAATATTGATATCCATTACTCCCATGACGGTTGTATCAAATTCGTTGTATTTCAACTTGAAAGAACCAACGATCAATCGGATATAATGAACCATAGTGGGCATTATGATCTGGCATGGGTAGTTGAATCCCATTGATATCCATTAATATCATCTATGTGGATTTTCTTTTCTTCCAGCCTATGATGCTTGCTTATATGTACATATATCCCATACATTGTGCCTAGTATTTGCTATTAAACACCAAAACTATGGTTTCACATCATATATCCATTAGTGTAGTGAGATCCCATGATGGATGCCCATCCCATTATATATGATGGTATCCAACCAAATTAGTCCAATCATACCACCATACAACTTGTCCACTGGTTATATTCATTCGTTCAAGTACCCATCAAAACATATCACATATCCACTAGTTACCACTAGGTGTATGCTATGATGCTTGGTTATACCCCATTGATATATTATACCATCTGGTCATTTAACGTCGCTACAGGCATACACACATTTTTGTGATAGGTGAATCATCAGACATCATCGAACTAAATGGCATGTGTTGAATAGGTAAATCATCAGACATCATTAATAACCATATATATATATACATACTGGTTGGTGGTCATATACCCTCTGGTAAACGTTTACATAACGAACTGGAAAGATCCACCATGTTTAAGTTCGGTAAACCATCTATTTCTATGGGCCATAAAACTCCATGGCAAGGTTTTTTATCACCAGAGAGTTCCCGCAGCCCCAGGAGCCCCCGGCGAAAGCCGCCGGCAGCGGCGACAGCGGCGCAGCCGGAGGTGGGGATTTCAGCAGAAATGGTGGATGAAATACCGTTAAAATCCGTTAAAAAATCGTGGATTCAATGGATGCCATGGATGGATTTTCCATGGATTTTTCCATGTTTTTTTTTTGTATCAATGGATTTTGGTTTTCTTGTGATGATTTTAAGAAATTGGCTGGATTGTCCTATGAAATATGAGTGTTTCCTGCAAATGTTTCCTTGAACCCATTGATGGCAAGTAACTAGTGGTTAAGTGTACTAGTTACTACTTACTCAGCTGAGTTTTTGTGTGGCTTACAAATAACTTCTATGTGTGTTCCAAAACAATAAGCAGGGAGGGAATTGTGTTCTGCTGTATCAAAAGGTCCTTTCTGGAATCAAACATTTGGAAAAGATCTTGGAGAATGTAGAGTGTTCAAGCAGAAATGTCTATTTTGAACTCTTTGTTCAGGGGTGATCTCCTGCACGGAGAACACCTGTTTCCATTGTGGTTTTGAAAACCTCTCCGACAGGGCACCAAAATAAATTGTCGCCAAAGGAGGGCATCGTTTCCAGCTTCTTCACCCAGCACAAGTGGAGTAAAAGTACCCCAGTTTATGATAGAAGTGTGAAACACATATCTTCCATGACCCCACAGATTTTCTACCATTTTTATAATTTTGCTGCCACCATTTTTACCATTTTTGGATTTGGAATTATAATGGAGTAATATCATCATTATTATTATTATTATATTGTGGGAAATATCATTGGAATAATGGGAATATCATGGGAATAAGACTGTTAAATTATATCCAATGATTAATTATATTTAACCATTCAAATGGGAATATTTTCTGGGAATATCATTGAAATAATTAGTTGGTTAAATTTAATGGACTATCAGGATAATATGGGAAAACAATTAAATCAAAATCAATAATATAATCAACATGATTGATAATTCATTGAAATTTCATTGGAAATGAATAATTGGTTAATATGATCCAATTAAATTTAACCCATCCCATTGTTAATCCATAAAATTCCAATTCATTGATATCCCATTGTTAATTGGTTCATATGGGATATCATTAACAATGGGATTGGTTTTCTATGTCCATCCCCTGTGGGTCACTTTTGCGCAACAGTAGGAGGAGGGGACCCGCTTCATCCTGCGCAACGCCGGACAAATTACCGAGGAGCAAATTATCGAGCGGCTGGGCCCACGTTTGGAAGTTTTTTCATGGGACATGTCAATGGAACATACCCTCTGGTAAACATACAAAAAACTATAGAAAACCACCATTTTTAATGGGAAAATCCACTATAAATGGTCATTTTCAATAGCTATGTTAAATTACCAGAGGGTATGGAAAACAAATCGCAGTTAATGTTTTAAACAAACAGATCATGTTCAATGGGAAAATATGGACATGTCCTTTAAAACTGTTGGTTCACTGGAGGCTATTCTGAAACTATATTCCAGCTGGTGGTTCCTTTGTTTGGGATGTAAGAAAAAATTGAATGATGATGTCAACTGACGAGCATATGTTTGAGTTCAAACCACGTAGCAGTTGTTTGATGCGCTGAAATTGAACATGGGAAAACCAAAAAATCGCTGATTTAGGTTGTTTCAAAAGGTTGGACATGTGTTTTTCATCCGTTTACACCAACCTGGAATGATTACGGGTTTAAAGCCGGGCACGAGTTTGATGGATGATTTGGGTTTGGAAGTGGCCATGTTTTGGATATAAACATTGACATTGGACATGCTATCAGCTACATGATATGGCTGTCAAGATAGTGATCACTTAACTTGGGATGAGGATGAGGATGGGGATGGGGATGATGATGATGATGATGATGATGATGATGATGATGATGATGATGATAACGATAATACCGCTGACTATGATGTTGTTATCGTCCATTTGATGTTTGCATACAACTGTGACTATTATGTTATAGTTATGATCAGGTTGTTTGCTGTCAGATGCTGCTGACTATTGATAATTCCTCATGCTGGTGAAATGGTGACTCGCGGACAAGGCTCATTGCTGTTGTTTGATTGTTGTTTGCAGTTTTTTCTACATGCCATCAAACAACACAACCGTGTGTCTATGAGATCTATCGCGCTTGTAAAGGAGTCGTTTATTTTCCATCCCAAAGTGGATGCATCTGGAAATGGGATGTACCAGGAGATAGCTATTTTCCATAGGGAAGATGATGACCAACTGTTGGGGAAAATGTAAGAATAGCTCCAATGGGATATACATGTAAGCTGGTTGGTGGTTTGGAACATGTTTTTTTCCATATATTGGGAAGAAAAATCCCATTTGACTTTCATATTTTTCAGAGGGGTAGGTATACCGCCAACCAGTATATATATATTATATATATATATATATCTATTTCCCCACATTTTCCTATGATTCCCCATTGCTTCTAGGGGATATTCCGTAGGGAAATTGATGATGATCAACTGGGAACGGACGGAAAGCATTTCCCTAGGTATTTCCAGCACTTCGGACGCGTGGTCTCGTGCAACGTGCTGAAAGACAAGCGAACCAAGAAGACCTGGCTCGTTTGGATAGCATGGGGATAGCCATAACTGTAGTAAATTGGATGATGGATTATTATTATATCCCACTTACTATAGGTATCTATAGGTTATATAATGTTTATCCAATCACCAATTAAATTAGATCTCTGGTAAACGAACAGTCTGCCATGGAGAGTCACCATCTTTGTCAGAGGTAAATCAACTATTTCGACTGGACCATTGTCAATAGCTTTTTGTATGTCATTACCAGAGGGTAGGGGTATACCTCAAATCTCAAGGTATACCGAGCATTTTCAGGTAAGGCCCATGTCCCGAAAGAAGACATAGCTATGGAAATCATGCCCCACTTATAAAGATGAATGACCTAAACTATGTCTGTGGCCATTTGTCATGGCAAAGTTGCAAAATGTTGCAAAAAAATGCTCGGATTCGGAGTATGATCTATAGATTTTTATATATTTTTATACCCTCTGGTAATTTAACATAGCTATTGAAAATGACCAATTTATAGTTGTTTTACCCATTAATAATGGTGATTTTCCATAGCTATGTTAAATTACCAGAGGGTAGTTGTTTTTTCCCATGAAAAAAACTCAATTTTGATCTGCCACATCTGGATGGCCAGGAAATCTCGTGGAGTTGCCTTTTGCACTCTCAGGCGCCTTTTCAGAGCTGGCAGAGCTGGCAGGGCGAGCTGGGATTTTCCATGGACCATGGGGAGCCAGTTGGAGCTATGAGATCTATGAGTTTACCACATGTTTAATGAAGAACTGTTCATGGAGATGAGATGTTTGATGTTTTTTCCTGATACCAGGAAAAACCGAAAAACTGATTGATTTCTGGTACTTCTGATGCGTTATATACTTTTATACTTATTAAAAAAAAAAACATATGAGGAACATCGATGTGTGCAGTTTCACAATTTGCATGTGTTACCCCTACTTCAGCCCTCTCGTCAGAGACCTCAGTAAAGGCAGGCCCTAGATTTGGCGATTCGCTACAGACTCTCAGACTGCCCTTGAAATATCCAAGGTGGTTGTTGTGGGACCTGCATTCCCAGCATTCCCAGCATCTGTGCCGAGGGCTGAAGGCTCTTTCGAGGGTCAACCCATTACGGCTGCTTGGCGGCGCCACAGCCCCTGTTTTTCTTCGATTTTTGGAAGGAGGGGTCGGATGTGGCTGTTCCCAGTGATCGAAGGAGTGTGATGTTCCCTGGAGTTATCAGATTCTCCAGAGTCTTGACCATCCACTGCGAAATCTCTGGCTGAGCCAATGTTTTTGAGTGTTTACTTCTAAGGGTGGCAGCAGAACCGATGAATCTCTTGGACCACCAAGCATCCATTTCACCAGGACATCAACCATCAGTCAGCCATTTCAAGCACCGTTCAGCAACTGCTTGGGGCTCCAAAAAAGGGTCCAATCTCAACGCTTCACCACTCAGCTAAGGAAGAATCCATGAAGGCAGGGCCTTGGGAAAGAAATGGATGAGAATCTGGTTGGTGGTTTACCGTAAAGAATCATGTCAACGTATGTCAACTGAACATACCCTTTAAAAAATGTAGGTTTTAAGTTTGAATGGGGAAATCATCTATAAATGGGGGATGTTTTGTTTTGCAATGTTTGATTACCAGAGCGTACTTGGAAACTACAAAATTGACACAAGACTCTTGCGGGGTAGAATGCTTTCCGTTTTCCAATGAAGATACCCTCTGGTTATTTAACATAGCCATGGAAAATGGCCATTTATAGTGAGTTGTCCCATTAAACATGGTGATTTTCCATGGCAAACTGCTAAATAACTAGATGGCAATGAACGTGCTCCTCTGGCATGCTCGAAAGCGGAAAAAAGGAGTGGGTGCTGCATGAGACGCACATCGTAGGGCACATGAAGTTGGAGATAACGGAGGCGGAAGTGAAGCAAGAGAAGGACGGGGCCAAGAAACCATCCTGCGGCTATGGCCTATAGCTGTGTCTAAGGGAGCAATCCGAAAAAAGGTGAAGAACGTTAAGCTACAGCAAGATACACAGTAGATATATGTAGATATGTCATGTGATGTCAAATAATATTATATATCCTAGGGACCCAGGGAATTATTCCTCCACTTACACATGGAAACACATTTGAATGGAGCATAACTTGATAAGTTGCCCATAGATTTCATGTAAACGGGTGAACCTAGCATAGGGAAGATCTAGCTGACGGACGGTCCATGGTTGGATGAATGGTTCATGGATGGGTTTGACTGATTTGACCCTCAAAAATTGGCTGCTGAGCAATCGGAAATGAAGGAGCTGAATCTGATCAGTCAGCAGCCAAAGAATCTTGGTCAATGACACTTCAAGTGTTCAACGGGATAGTTGTACCCATTTGAACAATTTTGAACGGGTCAAAAGCATCTGTCAAAATTGAATAAAATTGGGTACCCCAAACTGGAATGGTAAAATACTAAAGGAAACATCAACAGTCCATTTGTTGGTCCCAAACAAATCCTACAGATTTTGACTCGAAAAGTGAGAAGTCGCGGACCTCCTCTGCTGTTATCAGCTGGTCCTTCCATTCGCGCAGGAGGACGACGAAGATAAAAAGCGCGAGGAGAGGGTGGAAGAGAGGCCCCTGCAGGAACGAACTGATTGATTACTGTGTATGATATTATATAATTGATATTATTTGTTTTTATTGACTGGTGAACTTGTAGTACTTTTAGTTATTGCAGTCATTGTAGTTCTTGTAGTGGACTTGTTTAAGATGGTGATTGCTGCAGCTCTTGCACTTGTTGCATGCTTCAGGATTCTTCCAATTTCAAAACAAAGGTGTTTCGTTCAGATCGCGGTGGTGTGCCATGCACCATGACGCTTCACCAATCCTTGAGCTATGATCCCAAAGATCATTCTTGCAATGAGTACTGAGAAGCAACAAATACTGCTTAGTGGTTTAGAACATGAATTTTATGTTTCCATATATTGGGAATAATAACCCCAACTGACTCAACTGACTTTCATATTTTTCAGAGGGGTTGAAACCACCAACCAGAATAAATTGCTATGTTTTGTTCCTATTTTGAATGCGAAAATGATCAACACCTAAACATCATATTGGCATATTGGATACAAACAGGCAAAATGTCATTGTCAGTTTCGATTGCCAGAGGGTAATCCATGTTTTTGTTGCTGTTTAAACACGTCAACATCCCATTTTCTTGGATCAGAAATCAAATCCATGTTTTATTTAGGATAAACATATTTATTTTACTTTGAGTGATCCCACCTTGACCCACTATTCTTGAATAGATTGAAATAGTTTTGTCATCTAGAAGTTCTAGAAGTATATATAATTGTATATATAATCATATATACTATCATATATACATATTATTCTGACATTCTATCTGACATTCTTTCTGGAGTGGCCCACAGCATCCGAAGCTGGGAGGAAGACAGGAGTGATTCGGCAAGGAAGACAGGAGTGAAGTGCAGGAGAAGGAGTGAGGGAGTTACACCTTTGTTAAAATCTAGAGACCCTCACCTGGAAGGTGGGGAAAAACATGTTCAACATGAAAGAAATCAGATGGGATTAAGTAGATGAAGTATGTCAACAATTCCAACTCTATCTAAAAACCTATATAGCGAGTGAATTTGTTCCTTGTATTTTGTTTAAAGGCATGAATTCCATGAACAATACCCCTGTTGATTGGTTATCATAAAGGATTATACTACCTGCTTTAATGGGGAGTATTACAGCATGTAATAACTATGAGTCTATGAGGGAAAATTAGCTATCAACCAACTAGTATTGCATGAGATGGAATACAGGCATTTCTCATCATAGATGTCCTTTTCCCCCTTTAACAACAGGTAAATGATGATAGATGGTATACCAAACCGGCCCCTCTATTTTTACCAAAAGGACATTATTGTTTCTCATAGTTCATGTGTCTCAAGATGTCTCAAGATGTCACATACCTCCAACGGTCAGCGCTAGGCGCCGTTCTCGGATCGAGAAGGAGCAGAGGCAACTGAGGACAGGCCACATATTACTTGGTTTAACGGGGATTAATGGGTTGTGTAGTGGGTTATATAATGGGGATATTGGTGACATCGCCAACAACATGATATTGTCTGAGGATTATAGTTATTACCAATTTTACTGAAGTCCAGCTGCTGGGGAATATGTGAAAACTTTTGGTAGACCCAAGATTGAAACATTTTTGACGGAGAAACACCTATAATTATTCTATAGGATGTGTTTGAAAGTACAGTACAGTAACCACCAAAAGGATAGAAAAGTAAAATTCCACGAAAGTAGTGATAAGTTACCTATTTATCTTTTTGGGGGTTATCCTCTGGTAAACGTTTACATAACTATGGAAAAATCACATTTTTTTAATTAATGGGAAAATCCACTACAAATGGCCATTTTGAATAGCTATGTTTGTTTACCAGATGGTAAATCCCATTAGATCACCATTAAACCACCATTATTAATCACCATTTTTCTAGTGGTTAAATCACCATTTTCCTCTATCTTTTTGGGGGTTACTGCAGATGATGTGTAAACTGTTTCCCACTGGCCATTCTGAAGGGCCTTGCCATCGTTTCTAGTGGACGAGCCACAACAAGTCACCACCAGTGACTCAGTTCCAGCGCCTTTTTTTTTGGTCATCAGTCCATGTTTTTTTGAGATGTCTATACCCGTTGTAAGGATTCCTCATTGTGGGATGACCATCGAACATACTTTTACCATCATTTTTACCATGGTACATATGGTTTGGTTTCTATCCCTACTTGAAAAAGACATATGATACCCTCTTGTTATTTCACATAGCCATGGTATAGATGGCCCATAGAAATAGATGGTTTACCTATTAAAAATGGTGGATCTTTCCATGGCAAACTGTTAGTCATAACCAGATGGTATATCCATATATTATATAACCAAGAAAATGGTGATGCTTCATGGAATATGACTTGGATGATGGGAAAATCAGGATAGAAAAGGTACTTATTGACGAGTGATTTGTCTTGAACCCACCATGTAGCAGATGTATTTCCCTCCTGGTGAATCCTTGCATCCGCCAGGCACATGCTTGGCACAGCACTGAACCTAACATAGGAACAAAATAATCATTAATATATGTTTCTATATATATACACAGTGTATATACACATGTTTCTGATATTTCATAATATTACATATATATTAATATATATGTTTTTGTTTTTTATTCTATGTGGAATTTTATGTATTACATGTTCTATGAACATGCCAACTATTTATTTTCTTAGTAAGAGCATAACATATATTATATAAACATAAATCGATACATGTTTTAGCTATTGTTTTTGCAATTATGTTTTATATCATATATATATAGAGTGCAAAGTATTTGTTGATTTTATATTGTCATATATATATATAGATATATACCTAATTTTGTTTCTTAATTTGAACTAAAATGTCATATGTTTCTGTATTTTGATCAATTTTAAGTCTTAGATTATATATGTTCAAACTTATTTTATCTTGTATGTTATTTATTGTATGCGTGTTATCTATATATATATACACATACTGTAGATAAATACCCAGTTACCACAGAGCTTGCTCGATCAGGACTTTGGGCGGTGCAGCCACCTTACAAGAGAAGGGCGAAGAGAAGTTGGTACCCACCTCGGCCGCGTCAACGATGATCCCTAACGACTCATCATGTGGTGATGCCTTGAAATCACCCTAAACCCTCAAAGAAAAACATAGTCTTCTTGGTTTCTGTTGTGGGATTGCAAGAGGACCAAATAAACAGAAGGTTCATGATTTCAGCTATATCTTGTAGATTTTGCAACGAATTACTGTCCTAGCGCTTGCTGAACATCTGAAATACATGTGTCTTTAATAAGGCACCATTTAAAAAATGACAGAAACCTCATGTGGCATGGTTTTTTGATGGGATAATTACTATATCTCTAGTGATGCAAGTCCCGAATTCCTGTCCTCCAGATCCTCCGGTCCTCGCGGATTGTCCATTACTGATCTGCCGGGGGTGATCTTCCGATGGCGTGGCGATTAGGGTCATCCCATGTCATCCCCAGGTTTCAACAGCAAATTCACCCAAACTGACACCCGGCCTTTGCCAATTTTGTGTTTTTTGTTTTTTGCCATCTCATTGATATTAATGATATGCAAGACATTTTATATATCCTCTAAAGTTTTCCATTTTGTGTTTTTCGTTCTTTGCAATCTCATTGATATGCAAGACATTTAATATATCCGAATAAAAGTCTAACATCAAACACAGCCCGTTGGTCCCAACTATCTGTGAATCCCCTACTAAATCATGTGTTGAGCCGTTGTGGCGAGGTACCAAGCCACTGGTTGAGACGTTGGCGGCAGCAGCTCTGGGAGCTGCTTGGTGATGGTGTCCAACGTAGCCAACGTTGGTTTTGCCTTTCAGAAAACATTTGAAGATGGGGAACAATCTTATAGCTACTTTGTTCTTTTCTCGTTTCTGTTTTTTTTTGCTGGGAGAAGACATGTGAAAATCCAGACGTAGTTCTAAAAATTGATTATGTTTTGAGTCTCATGTGATAAACCTATCACACAACTGGACTGCGATGCTACTAGCCCCTTTCCCTAAAGAATCCCAAATACAAAATACCCTTACCAGTCGAAGCTTCTCTTTGTACTGTATATCAGATATGGATCATTGAGGTCTCTTTGAAATTTCTTTGCAGACATTCAGAGGACTTCTACATCTCCATACTCCACCCATTCATTATCATTGCTGGTTTCAAGTAATGTGGGTAAAACAATGTCATAAACCATCCCCCAGTCATCGCCATTTTTATAGGTGGTATAATATAGTATATATAAACCATTCCCAATAATGGGTGGTTTATGATATAGTTTTACCGACATCACGTACCCTCTGGTAAACTAACATAGCTATTGAAAATCACCATCTTTAGGTTCGGTAAATCAACTATTTCTATGAGCCATTTTCAATAGCTTTTTGTATGTTTACCAGGCCGGGTAAACATCCATTTTCCTATGGTTTTCCGATGGTTTTCCCATTTTCCCATGGTTTTCCCATGGTTTACCAGGCCGGATAAACCTGATGTTCACTCGAGGATGGTGATTTCCAATGACTGGCTGGGAACGAGGTCGCTTCCCAAGGGCAACCCGGTGGTCTGGGCCGAGCCCATCGTCTCGCAGCTTTGCTCAGCCATTTGGAGCGAGGCCGACGTGGCACTTTTAGGGCGCGGAAGTAGTTGGCAAAGTTGGGAGTCAACTTGGATGAACTTGATAAACTATATATTTATGAGCAATATCACTGATATTACTAAAAAATATCGAATTGTTCTATAAAAAATTGGCTGGTTGGTGGTTTGGAACATGGCTTTTATTTTCCATTTCATATATGGGATGTCATCCTTCCCATTGACGAACTCCATCATTTTTCAGAGGGGTAGGTCAACCACCAACCAGGACTGGTTCATTGGAAATCGATCGATTATGTGGTTTTTCACCAATAATAATTAATCCATCCTATGTTTGTTCTGGTTTATACCACCCATAAAAATGGTGAATGTGGGAACGTTTTTTTTCTTGTTTGAAACACAACAAACATTTATGGTGAATTTGGGAATGGTTTGGTTTCAGACATTTTTTATTTTCCATAATATATGGGATAATCTTTCCCATTGATTAATATTTTCCAGAGGGGTTGAAACCACCAACCAGTTATTGTTTGAACCACACAAAATGGGATTTTTCACAGGGTGATTCCAGTAGGGTGACCATCAGCCAATTTTCGATGGGTGTCTAGCACACGTTTTTTGTGGTTTTCCAAGCCGCTTTTTGAGACAACTGATCCCTATCCCAGATGCTCCACGGTGCTGGAATATTTACCTACAAAACTGGGTGATTTTTAGGGTAAATGTAGGTAAATATTCCATACATGGAGCATCTGGGTATCACATTTTGTGTGTTTTTTCATAAATCAACCAATGCCAGAGGTTCAGAAAAAACCATTGGTCTTTGAGCTCAGCCATGGCAGTCATTCCTGAATTGCGTTTCGTGCCTTGAATGTGTCAGATACCCTGAGAACTGATGAGAGCTGCGGATGGTTTCGAAATCTGCACCGAAAGGATGGGGCCAAGCATGGCCAAGCCCTATTTCCATAATGGGATGTTTACCATCAACATCATCAACTGGTGCAGGATTTCTTTCACAGTATGTTGAAATATGTTGAAGTATCCTAGATCTTTCATTCACAGTATGTTCAAGTTGATCAAATTCATGAAGTCCCAGCTTCTGTGACCATTCCCATGGTGTCCATGGACAGCAGGTGGCGGAGCATGGTCTTCGGTTCGGCGATCGAGCAGTGAACTGGGCAGTTGTGGATGGTGGGTTTTTCTTAACCGATTTGGGTGTAGAAAAGCAAGGGAGAAACCTATGGATTTCCTCATTTATTATACAATGTGAGACCCCCAGTTATAAGTTGCTTTATAAGCCCCAGTAACTAGTTCGTTATAAGTACCATAAACCATAGTGAAATTGGAGTTATGTTCACCAACTTAGCTATCTTGGGGGCCTCACATTGTAGATTAGATTAAGTTAAACCATAAATTGATTAAACCTGCCATAGATGTCGTGTTTCTACCGGGTTTTTCAAGGTCGGGTCACTGGAGGATATGGAGGCCATATCGAGATGGCATCCACCTTGGTCAATGCTTCATGACTAAAACGCCGCTGGCTATCCATATGATTCCATAATCTTCCATAGTAAAGCCACGGTACATTTATATTACATATTATAATACCTAATATGATATAATATGGATATCCATAGCTATAATATATCCATGTATAGATGGGTCATATCCACTGTGTGAAGCACTTTTTACTGCCTTCAAGATGGGGACCCCTAGTCATAAGTTGATTCATTGCCCATCCAGCGTTGGAATCGCCATAAACCATAGTTATTCTAGTGATAAACACCATAAAGCCACTAACATCTTACTATAGTTATACTTACCATAAACCCTACATTATACTATGTGACTATGTGTGTATATATATATACATAGAGTTAACATAGTGATAATCACCACAAACCCTAGCTGGTTGGTGGTTTCAAACATTTTTGTAATGGTATGTCATCCTTCCCATTGACGAACTCATATTTTTCAAGATGGTTATTGCACCACCAACCAGTAGATATTTGCTTTTTTTTTGATACATGTTATGTTCCCCATAAGCCACAAACCCTGGTTATATTGAATACAACCTCAATGGGAATTTCAGGATCTTAAAATGGAGGTACGTTGGTACCATATGTTTGGCCACATGAATTGTGGGGATATTCCCTTACATAGGCCTGAAAAATAGGCCTTATATATGCTAGGTACCTCCAATAAATCGGTTCCTGTTGCATGGCCATTGATCACATCCGAACTAGATCAATTGCAAACCATCCAGGTATAACATCCAGGTATAACATCTATAATCAATGGATTGGTTTAAGGGAAAATTTTAACCGGAAACCATAGATTTTCCCATTAAATATGGGGCTTTCCTGTAAATTTCCCCTTAATCCAATCCATTGATATAACCATCCCAGGTAAAACAGCTTAGCCAATTATGAAAGGCCCCAGCTCAGCCGAAGCATCCGATGACCCCCTACGTGACATCCGTGCCGTGACCAGTCCAGCGAGGTGAACGATGCAGTTGGAATGTTCCAAGATCCCTCCCAGGAGCGAAAAAATAATGGACCCCGTCTGACATCATTGATGATTGATTAAAGAGTGTATAGAATATATATATATATGTATAATATATATATATATATGTATAATATATATATACATATATATATATATATACTGTATATATATATATACGGATTCTATCTACCATAAACCCTGAGAGTCTTAGTCTAGTATATACATATATATATGTAACAAAAAATGTTTCACACATAGGATTGAACCCTCAAATCACAACGCTTGTGTTTTCATTGCGATTTGCGTTTGATGCAGTTTGCATGTTGTTCCTTTGTGCGATGTCCCAGCTTCAATCTTGGTTCAAAGCCCGCTGTGTTTGATGTTGGTTGGCTAAACATCAATTCATGAGGATGTGTCCCAACTACAAGTGGACACCCCCGACGGAGCTCGTGAACATCTTATTGTTTTGAATCCCAATTTCAGGTTGGTCAAATGGTCAAGATCTGTCTATATCATTGAAACATATTGCTGGTTGGTGGTTTCATGTGGTTTCAAACATTTTTGGAATTGTCCATTTCATATATGGGATGTTTTAATCTTCCCAACTGACTTTCACTCCATCATTTTTCAGAGGGGTAGGTGGCTCAACCACCAACCAGTACCCAGGAGATTTCCTCAACCATTTCTGGTGAAATCCCATGGTCTAGTGAAATCCCATCGATTTCCACCATGGGATTCCCATGGGAATATCCGCGGGAATCTTAAGTTGGATTGGAAATATCCTGGGTAATGTGATGAATTCATATCCATATGGAGAATAGCCATGACTGTGAAATATCTTAAATGCTAATATGATGGTACAGTAATACCCATCATATTACCATCATCATATACCATATACCATCATATACCCATATCCATGGGTAATATCCATGGTATTTTCTATAGACTTCCCATGGATCTTCCCATGATGAAGTCATCCCAGGAGGGTCGTTGGAGCTTCATCCCTGCGGCCGAGCTACTTCTGACGGTCGGAGAAGGCCCCGGCACGGGCGAGGTCGTGGATGGTTTCCATGGAAGATCGCCATGGAGAAACAGCTGAGAAACACATATAAAAACCCTACTAAAGCCATGCTTTGAAGCCATGGTTTGAAGCCAATGGCCTATTGAAATAGTTGTTCTAAAAACATCTAAAAAGAACTATATACTAAATTTTAGTAGTGATTTCCATTGATTTCCCTTGCAGCAAACTGTGCAAAGTGTTAGTTTACCAGAGGGTAAGAGATAAATCCTCTCTGCAAATGGCTAGTGCTCATGAATATTCAATTGCTATGTTGAAGAAAATAGGGGGTATTGGTCTTTTGGACACGAAACGAGTATCCCGAAATGGGTCAGCAGTTATGATTCATGCCTTAAAAAGTGAGACTCGTCAGCCAGAGTGAGTTACGTTTTTCGCAACTGATCGCCCCCCTGGGAATATAGATGGGAGATGATATCCCAATGAGATAAGTCTCACCATATAATTCCCATTGAATATCCCAATGAGACTATTGAAACAAATTCTGAACCAGACTTGTTTTGGTGAGATTCCTCTCTTGGGTTGGGTTGGATGTAAGTCCCATTCCAGTTTTGATCTCATGGATATAGTAACTTCCTGGTTCCTGGAACTTCCAGGACGGGGGCGTTTGTCCAACAAAATCCCAGTGATTGTTGTTCTTCCAAATCACACACCATCATATATTACAAGATCCAATAGTCCAATACCTAGCTTACCCTCCAGTAGTCCCACATGACAATGGGAAATCCTGGCCACTCAATGGAGGGTGGAACTTTCGCTGTGAAAATCAACGAACAGACTGGTGGTTGTTCCAGCAAGCCAGGTTTGATTACACCAGAGGGTCAAATCCCATGAATTAAAGAATTATGTCCCAGAACATTCCAGTATATCCATTATTAGATGGTATTAATAGGTATATCCCATATGTATCCCATATATAATCCCATTAAACCATCATTAAATCCCATATGGGTATGGATCAATACCTATTAATACCATTTTTAGGGGGATGAACATCCAGTAATCCCAGCTATTTTGATGTGAACTACAGGGGTACAAGGTTTTGACACGCTGCCATATCCCTAACCCTTCATAGATACCAGGTGTGAACCAAGAGGGTAATACCAGAGGGTGAACCAAGGATAGTTATCTAGGAAGGATGATCAATAGTTAATAAATAACCGTTACTATGAATTAAACTCTTCCATAATAGTTAATGACTAACTAATGACTAATTAGTATAAAACAACATAAAATGATCCACATTTGTTAATTTATTGTAGTTTACGGATAGTTCCTATCTATCAACTATTGCCTATCACCCATTGAAGATCCTTTTTGCTTACATACCCATGACATTGGTAAACGATTTGTGAGTTGAGTAAATCACAAAAAATAACTAGTTTTATAAGTTATAACTATTGATCAACTGGAATTGTTATTACTACTAATAATAATAGTTACGTTTCACTAATTGATAAACTCGTACTATAGTTATACTATAGATATTAAGATATTATAAGCTATATTTAGTACCAATATCACTGATACTAAAACACATCAACTTGTTCTACAAAAATTGGCTGGTTGGTGGTTTGGAACATGTTTTATTTTCCATTTCACATATGGGATGTCATCCTTCCCATTGACGAACTCCATCATTTTTCAAGATGGTTATTGCACCACCAACCAGTATATGTATATATATATATATTATATTTGGGATACCAATGATACCATTTCCCTTCCAAAAGCCTTACCCTCTGGTTATTTAACAGTTTGCCATGGTATAGATGACCCATAGAAATAGATGGTTTACCTAGCTATTAGCTATGGTGGATCTTTCCATGGCAAACTGAGGCAGTCATAACCAGATGGTAATTTCCATATCATCCCACTATTCACCATTGTTAACCCATTGTTAAACCATTAAATCACCATTAAATCACCATATATTTCCCATATATTTCCCATAAATAAAAAAATGTTCTACAAAAATTGCCTTGTGACTTCCCATCCTCTTGAAATCTCACCAGGTCTCGTGGGCATCACCGCCTTAGGGCTCTTCGTGTGGCCCACCTGGCAGGCGAAGATGAAGGGAGCGGCTCCAGTGGTTGGAAAACTACCCAAGGGTGACGTGGAAAACCCATGGTTTTTGTAGGGAAATGTAGGAAAATCATCTAGAAATGATGTTTTTTTTTCAGGAAAGTGGTCTACAAATTGATAAGAAACTCCACATCTATGATATCATCCATGTTAGTTTAGAGGAGGGTAGCCTCCATGATGATTGGGACCCATATCCCATATTTGTCCGATATGACTCCTGGAGGTTCATGGATCTTCCAGCTAGCCGCTAGCCACCTAAAATTACTCCAAGTTAACGTTCATGATTCCATGGAGTGATTCATGGAAGCCAACTAGAAATATATACTGCTTGCTAGTTTGGAACAATTTTTTATGACTTTCCATTCAGTTGGAATGGAATGTCATGATCCCAACTGACTGAGATATTTTTCAGAGGGGTTGAAACCACCAACCAGTGTTGTTTTGACTGCACATATATGGAGTTTTCGCTGTAAGTTTGACTCAAACCAATTGTGCGATGGACACCAGCCTGATTTAGCAACAAATTGTTATGATGCACATGGGGATTGAACCGTCAAAATTGTCTTGGAAAATCTACAAGTTCTAGCGGTCCCTCTCTTGGGGCAATGAATCGGTCTCGCCATTGGGGAGTTTCAGCTTGATGTTTTACGACGGATGGCTCAAAATTTAAGGACCACATATTTGTATTAGTTCATTGTTATTAGTATTAACCATCCATTTTTAGGGGTACCCAATTTTGGCCATATGGTACCCATATGCATAGCCAATTCCATGTACATGTTGCCTACGGTCGCTGCAACTTGGGAACCATGGGAAATCAACCAGAATGGTGGTCTGATCAGCGGTTGTATCCCCATTTTTATATTGTTCCCATATGCTCCATGCATGGTATATTTACCATTACTTACCTACATTAGTTTTTCTTTAAGGGCAAATGTTGCTAAATATTCCATACATGGAGCATATGGGGTTGGTTATTGCATGTTATTGCCGTCATTGTTTTCATGTTGTTTATTTCCTCTTGGCAAGCTTTCTTGGAAGCACTACACCATGATTTAAAATGATTTAAAATCATACACACAGCAGTTAATTTTCAAAGACATGTTTTGTTATTGTTCTTTGATATCAACCACATCCCAGTGTAAATAGTGGTTAAGAATAAACTCCATCATGATTGATTTCATCATGTTAACATGTTTTCACATATAATAACACTCCCATATGCTCCATGTATGGTATATTTACCTACATTTGGGTGATTTTTAGGGCCAATGTTGGTAAATATTCCAGCACCATGGAGCATATGGGACATCAGAATAGCTCAGAATTATTGTCATAGAGTTGGATGATGGGAAAATTTACGGGAAAACCCTATATTTGATGGTAAAAACCCATGGGTTTCCGGTTAAGATTTTCCCTTAAACCAACCCAATGATATTGAGTTCTTGCCCTAAAAGTTGCCCTAAAACAGTGGGACAACATCTTGGAGCGTGCCCCAGGAACCCATCCCTCCGAGATCTGCCTTTGATCTCACTGCGTGGCGCGGCGGTTTCAACAACGCTGGATGTTTTTGCGATTTTTCTGCTTTCAATCTATTTATAAACTATAATATATGGATAATGGTATATTGGTGATAATGGTATATACTGGTATGATAATGGATAATAGTATATCTGGGTAAATTATAATAATTCACTAACCTGAATATTGATGGTATAATATATAACCCATGACGGATCCATGGTGCTGCTATGTATGGTAACATGGATACCATCAATATACCCCAGTCATGTTGGCATACCATACATGATACTCTGGTTGGTGGTTTCAAACATGTTTTCAATTTTCCATTTCATATATGGGATAATCCTTCCCATTAACTTTCATATTTTTCAGGATGGTTAAAACCACCAACCAGTAATGCATGCATGCCTGCCTGCCTGCATGCATGCGTAATAACGTACGTAAGTACGTACAGACAGACGGACAGACAGACAGACAGACAGACAGACGGACGAACAGACATACATATGCATGCATGCGTACATACATACATACATACAGTAAACATATTGTATATTACTCTACATATATATAATACATATTAACATCTTTTGTTTTATTGTATACATATATTATATATATATAACAACTATAGAGTCAGCATATTGTATATCATTATAGTTTATACATATATTAACATATTATGTTGTGTTTTACATATAATATATATATATACACATCAGCTCTGGTTAAACTCTGCTTCCAGGCAAATGTTCGCGCCAAGGCTCACTCGGCCCAACTTCGCCCCGCCGCCCGGTACCATGGGCGCTATGGGCGCTATGGGCGCTGGCCCCATGGGCCCCGGCCCCATGGGCCCCATGGCTGGGCACATCATGCAGCAGTCGATGTCAGGGATGGGTTTCTTGGATGCGGAGAGATGGGTTTTCCTCAAGGATTCGATGACGGAATAGAGAGTAGATAGGTTTCATATGGGTTTGTCTGAAAATAGGGTATATTCCCAATTATTGCCATTTAATAGGGATAATGATCATTAACCATTGGGTTTAGGGGTACACTATTTTCAGACAAACCCATATGGTTTCATTGTTTCATTTTTTGGGATGGTGAGTCTTTTTTGGTTGAAATTGGGGGGGCGGTGAGATCAACACCAGCTGGTTGCCGGACTATTAGCAGCGACTGACTGCTTTTTCCCAATTCAATTTGCACTTGGCAGCGAGGATAGACCTTTACCGCCTGGAAATGGAAATGGGGGGTTGGGGGATTGGGTGATGGTTTTTTTTGGTGTTTTGAAAGTTGTTTCATTTTTTTTGTCGGATTTGAAGGTGTTTTTTGGATGGCTAGGACTGGCTAGGACTGGTGAGATATTTGTTTTGGCTTCAAACTTTAAACACTTGTGATTGCAGGAGTGTACGGGTGGAACAAAAACGCCGCACCAACAGCGGTTGTGCGCAATCTTTATGGCTGGATGTTCTAAGACTCTATTGGCGTGGTTTGGCCAAGAAAGAAGTTGGATGTACACCAAAGCACGATGTTTGCTCATTACACAGAACGGAGTCCTGCTGAAGAGTTTTTATTTTGAGAAGAATACAGGTTGTTGGGATCGTGATATAAATTGTCATCAACAGCAGTAGCAGCAAGAAACTTGCGCTGTCATGATGTCATGCACCAGCTATCACCATGGCTTTTACAGAATGGCATACAGTCCCTGTAGCTTCTCGTTGATACTATAGTACTATAGTAGAATAGAGTGATCATTCCAGAAACAAGAATCAATGGATTGGTTTAAGGGAAAATTTACAGGAAAACCGCAGATTTTATGGGAACATCTATGTTCCCGTAGATTTTCCCTTAAACCAGTCCATTGAAAGAAGCATGTCTAAAAGGTTGGAAACCATGATGAATCTACAAACCACGGCTTTTTGGGATGAATTACTGAAACCACGCTTTGTCTCAACCCAGCAACGGTCTGAGAACGTGAACAGGGACTTAAGAGAACCCACGGGACCCACAGTGTTGGTATCTTGCAACAGATAGAACATGGTCATGATATGCGCACATCTGGGTATTTATGTGTGAAACTATTAGGTCAATTGAAATCGTTTGAGACATTTCAGATCTAATGATATCTATGGTTTTAAATGTATGACACACACATAATTCAATATACATAATATATATGCAAAAATGCATGCAGATTGTATGTATATGTTTATTTATTTATTTATTTATTTATTTATTTATTTTAAAATTCCTTGATACCCATTTTCACTAGGTTTGTTGTTTCTGTCCTTTACATTTGGCTTGGCACTTTCCCGAGTCCGCTCAGGAATGCCAAAGGGCTCTGAAACTTGTATTTGGGGTGGCGCGGGATCATCGTGCAGAGATTGACGTCCTTTTGGACATCATGGTATTGCCCTTATTTAACCATGGAAAATGATGGATAATCTAACTGGATAATTATCATATGTTATTTGACATAAATGTTTTTTTTTCTGGGAAATTTAAGCATCGAAAATTTGGGAAAATCCATGGATCCTTGACCATCAATTGGATATATTGGGGATATACTGATATACTCGCATTTCATGAATATCCCCTAGCCTTCCAGTTACCTTTGAGAAGGGTAACCACAGTGATTCCATGTGATTCTACTAAAGCTGTTTTTTTTGGGTTAGTTCCCTAGCTGATAGGCAACTGGGAGATGAGGGAAATATATGGAAAAACTCCACGGGAAACTCGCTGAGAAGGTCGACCTTTCCACATGTTTTTTTGTTTATGTTTGTTGTTTCAGAGCTGTGTCATTTTTTATTGGACCTATAATCTGGTGAAATTATATATTACTTATAATGACATGATTTACTGGCAAAAAAACATTCTATATTATACACGGATACAAAAAACAAATATAATCTGGTAATATTGTATTGGATCTATATCTGGTGAACATACATGGTACATTAATCTGGGTAAATTATAACGACTTCACCACGAGCGAACCCTGGAATCATTGTTAGGATTCAAGGAAGGAATCATCCCCAAATGGCTGAACTATTCAGGTTAGTGAAATATTATAATTTACCAAGATATAATACTTATAATTAACATACAAAAGAGATTAAGTAGATACTATAGTAGAACTTTTCAGAATATTCATGGGAATAGTGTTTATACATAATTGATAATGTTAATGTACACTATATATTCATAGTGTCATTAATACGTATTTTTTGTTCATACATTAAGTACTTAAATCCCCGCTATCGACATTTTGATCGACCTTGGAAGATCATCGAGGACCGGGAGAAGATCTTCGTGGGTGGAATCCCTCATCACTGTACGCTGGAAATGCTGGCGAATTACTTCAGTAGATACGGCCGCATCACTGATGCTGTCGTGGGGGCCCCGGAGTCCCGGATCGCCGAGGATGGTCGAAACCCAGTTGTGGGCTGGGTTTGGAGCCTTTTTTTGTAAGGGGCCGCCAGGCGGAAATCAAAGAATCCTCAGAATCGATCAATTTCACTGGAAAGGAATGCTTGGTGGTTAAAACTAGGTATAGTACATGGATCATCATAAAAACTAGGTATAATACATGTGAGAGCTAGGTAAATTTTGAAACATGGTCCATCATAAAAAAAGCCAGCGTCTCACATGGGTCAGTAACCGTTGAGTGCGTACGCAGCAATGAACCTGCCGCGTGTGTTCCATTTACCAGCCTGACTGGGGTGTCCATGGGACGTTTCACGTCTGTAATTTTGGGAAACACCCCAAGGCGTTCACATTTTCGACAATTTATGTTGAGAATAAGGTAACATCATAAATCAGAGACGTTTGTTTCAATAAGATTTCATCTGGTTGGTGGTTTCAAACATGAATTTTATTTTTCATTTCATCTATGGGATGTAATCCTTCCCATGGACTATGTTTCAGAGGGGTTGAAACCACCAACCAGTAATTATTAACCATCATTAACCATATATTAACCATATAATATATTAACCAATTATTAACCATATAAACAACCATATATTCACAAATGTTTCAGAGGGGTAGGTCAACCACCAACCAGTCATTTCTTGAGACTTTCCGCTCTTGCCGTGGAGGTCATGATGGACAAAACCACCGGAAAGCCACGAGGTTTCGGCTTTGTCGTCTTTGAACATGTGTCATGCGTGGAAGCCGCTCAGCTGTTTTACGTCGCGCTGTTTTACAGCGATGTGGGGAGGTTGTAATTTTTATCCCGGTCATCCGGTAATCTGCAATACCCCCCATGTTTAGGGTCTCCCCCTGGGGGTATTTCACATATTTATTACATATTTCATATTAGGGTGATGATGGTGATGGGATTTGACAAATTCGTCACGCAGATTACAAACGTGTTTCTTTGTGGAGATGATAAAAAAGCCCTAACATACTGGCCGTTTTCGAATCTACTTGCAGAATCTTGCAGAGCTGAGCAAGTTTGCATTGTATTCGGTCAAGATAGTCGTTTGCAGAATTGTCTCTGTTTCCAGGGCAATCTTTTTTATCTACGCCTTATTTCCGATCATGTGTTTTTTCCAATGGCTTCAGCGCTAGCAGGAAGGCTAAAAAAACGTGTTTTCCACGTAACCAAAGATCTCTGCAATCGATGAGAGCTGCAAAGCTCGAGCGGATCATCATCATACTTCGAAAGGGGATAGCCTTTGGTAATTGGTGCCATAGCTATGGAAAATCGCCATGTTTAACCTTTTAAATGGTGCCATAGGTGACATCAAGAGAGCTTTGGATTCAAAAACGTCCCTTCTGCAGCTCCGAGGCAGCTATCGCTGACTATGGAAAGCACGTTCTTTGCCCATTTTGGGGGCCGTCTTTTCAGCTGCGGTTTGTCCCACCATTCAGAGGGGACAGGAGAGAACAATCTGAAAATAATTTAGATAATTGGTCATGGGGATGTGGGTCAACACGTGTTTTTCTCTTCACTTACTTGTACATATCATTAAATTACAATGTGTTGACCCATTGATATAATATCATGCAATAATGTGGGTAAAACAATAATAAACTGTCCCCAAATCACATTTTTTTTAGGTGCTATGTTTACAATTCCCGGTCATGGGTGGTTTATGGCATTGTTTTACCCACGAGAATGTGATTCATATTATCATTGATATTTTACATTAGTCTACCCCCTTCTTTTGGGTGTCAACATCCATTAATAGCACTGAGGCCATCGATGGCAAATGGGTGGATGTGAAGCGTGCCACCCCTCAGGACCGCGTTTGAAGGCGACAGCTTTGGACATTTAAAATCTATTCTTTCATAGGCCACCAATCTATTGAAGCTTGATATTTGGATGTTGAAAGCTTAAGATATTATTTGATGTTGCTATACTTTATATAAATGTACAAATGCATCCGTCCAAGTTACAACAAGTCGTTTTCCCCGGATCTCTTCATTTCGGGGTCAACTGGTGCTGAAGAAAAACCATGGGTTTCACGCTGCTAAAACAAATCTAAAACACATCCATACAATGTGAAATGTGTTTTGTCTTTATATACATAAAGGCCATTAAAGTCAATATATATATATACATGCCATACGTTGAACACAAATTAAGTATGTCCTACTATTTGAACCATCATGAAAGGCTTGCTCAGAGCCATGACGTGGTTCCCAAACGTATCTGGGTAAGTGGGATAAATAGATGACTTTATAGATGGCTTATTTCATGGGTGTGGTCACTGGTGCGTACTACATCATACTTTCCAAAAAATGGTTGAGGCGTTATTTAGTTTTACTGTTTTACCATCTATAGTAACCCCGAAAACGATAGAAATAACTAATCACTATTTGATTAGAATGTTAGACAGTACTTTTATAAATCATCATAGATTGCCAAATCGATTCATGTGTTTCTTGAGTGATTCAACCATCACACATTTCAAAGAGTTGGAATATGTTTGTTTTTTCATGATGTAACTCACCAAATATCTTAGCTTTAGTAGAATCAGCATCTAAGATTTACCCTTTGTTTTCTCTTAACTGCCATGAATCCATGGCAAATGAATCATGCCATGAATATTGATGATTTATGATGGATTTACCTATAAAAACATGTGATTCTCCATAGCTATGTTAAATCACCTACAATGTGGGGCCCTCCGGTGATGTTTATTGGTTTATAAACCCCATGAACTATAGTTATTTGCGTATCATAAACCATAGTTTATTGGAGTTATATTGGAGTTATGTTCACCAACTTGGCTATTTGGGGGGACCATGGGGGACCCACATTGTAAGATTTAGTTAAACCATGAATGCCCGCTTCGCCTTCAGGACGGTAGTGCGCCCGTAACCTCCACACCTGTGAGCGACGAAGGCGTGGCAGGTGCGTTCCCCGGTCGCCGTAGAGATCCATGGTGCTGCTGTGTATGGTGCTCCATGGATCCCATCAATATACCCCAGTCATGTTAGCATATACACCAGCACCATGGATCCTATGGGTAGTTTGAAATTGCTTTATAAACTCCATGACATGGCCGACCCCGTTTGTCGACCCTTAAAGAACCACTGCCAACGGGAAAAACTTGTTGAAAAGCTCGTCGCCTAATTTGTTCGTACCCAGTCATACTCATATTCTCGATGATTTTATCATAACTTATCCGCGTCATCATTCCTGGTGAGGTTGCCACAGTGCCACACATATCTTCACAAAGGAATTCAAGAAAAACCCAGCCACATTTCGGCCACATCTGGCCACATTTGGCCACGTTAAAACAGGTGAAACATGGTGAAACCCATGGTGAAAGCCCAACCCCAACCCCGTTGGCAGGTGCCTCTCCGGAGAGACAGAACTTCCGGGAACTTCCGAGTCAGCTGGGAGGCCAGCGAATGGCCGTTGTGGACTTCTCTCCGTTAATGATGTCATTATACGGATAATCATGGCAATTATGGGAGAATATGGGGATATATATATATATATGTTATGTATATGATATATCATATTATCATGATATATCCAATATAATACTGATAATCACATGATAGTATGGTGATAACATGGCGATATCAGTGATATATGGTGATAATCACATGATAGTACTGGGATAATCACGGCCCATTGAGTTCGATTCCAACTCGAAATGATGATGAAAAAAGCCGCCAGCATAGCGATTAATTGAATTTACCCGGCCTGGTAAACCATGGGAAAACCATGGGAAAACCATGGGAAAACCATGGGAAAACCATGGGAAAACCATGGGAAAATGGGAAAACCATAGGAAAACCATAGGAAAATGGAGGTTTACCCTCTGGTAAACATACACAAAACTATGGAAAGATCCACCATTTTCTAGCTGGGTACATCCACTATTTCGACTGGGCCATGGCTTCAATAGCTTTTTGTTTCAGTTACCAGGCCGGGTACCAGTGGGTAATACTAGTGACATTCGGATTTCACAAAAACAGCTAGTGATTTTTAGTAGTTGAATGTAATTTTTCGCAGCGTTCATCCTGATGAGTTTGGAGTTTATACATGTTTATACCAAATCTACTCAGAATAAAAGGGATTACATAATCATCCTCATCCTCATGTTATCACTATTATAATCATCCATAATCATGATTTGGTTGGTGGCTTCCAAACTCTTTATGTATTCTTGGGATGGATGGCTCAAGTACTAACATTACTAACCCGGTTGAATTCATGATGGATAATGATGTGTGATATCCGGTTGGTGGTGACTGGAACCATGGAATTTTGAATGACTTTCCATATGTTGGGAATGTCATCATCCCAACTGACGAACTCATAGTTTTCAGAGGGGTAGGTTGAAACCACCAACCAGATATATACTTCGCACATCGGGAGTTGGAACCGCCTGAAATTTGACATGCGGTGATGGGTAGATAAGCTGGGGGAACCAACTGATTTTGGTTTTCTCAAAGATAGATCTGGCTACCATCTAAACATTCAACATCATTCAACATCATTCAACAACATTCAACAACAATCAGGTTGGATATGGATATCGCAACAAGTAATATTTAATGTAACCATCTACATGGAATAATTAGTGTAAGATCAAACAACAATCAGGTTGGATATGCATATCGCAACATGAAATAATTAGTGTAAGACCCGCAAATGGTTGCTGATGTTTAGTATTCACACATGCAATTTTTGGGTAAATGATGTTCAACTGATTGGTCAATGCTTTTTATTTATATACCATCAATCTATTGAAAAAAAAGGACCTCACTGTCGTCACCCAGATGTTGGTGGACCCTACTTGGCATTTAAGCTTGGTTTATCCAGAAACTTTAGGTGTGCCTCTGGAAGGTTTCCCAAACGCACCATAAAACACTGTTTTTTAGTTGGTGTCAATGATTCGCTA